ACCTGTTGAGACCCCGTTTCGTCCAATCCTGCCATCTCAGTGATAAATATGAAGCATATCCCAGATGAACCATCATCTCATACCATCATATTTTATTTGTCAGTGGATCTTACAGTAGATAAACTCCCGATGCATTCCAACTGTAATGGTACTGCTTATCGAGAGTCTTTTATTCTATCAGACACCAATTAATCATGAACTCTGTAGCCTTTCTACAAAGTTGTAACCTTGATTGCCCCTTACCAACTTTTGCCTCTGTGTAATGGTTTTCCGATTTCGGCGTGTCGAGCAGCAAAGTATTCATTTCAATCAAGGGTGCATCTTTCTACGAAATCCATATAAACTTATAATTCGCCCACTAACAGGGCCTCACTTGCTGCAGATATCCATGTTGTGAGTTTCTATTTCATCTGAAATCTGCATAAGGCATATCTTATTTAGTTGATTGTACGTATGTGAGTATGTGTCGTGTCGGTTGGCCGCATTTTATCAAGACTCTCATCCGTGGGAAAAGGCTTTCTACTGATTCCCAAACAAACGTTATTACTGGTTTATACTTCTCACTCGCACATAAATTTAGTTATTTCAGATCATAAACGCCGTAACAGCACCGAAATTGAAATGACAGTTATGCAATCGTGTATCTAAACTGACATGAGCCTGTATCTACAAGAATAAACCACCACTGTTATTATTATCGGTCTGATTGACCCAAGCATATGAGACGGGCGATTCCACACACCGATCTGTGGATCTGCTCTGACTAGAGTAATGTCTTTTGCCGCTGCCAGCTGGTTAGATTTTTCAGAATAGGGTGATTCTTCCCGTATTAATTTCCGAAGTACGGGAGTTTGGTGAGTTGCGCACTAGTTATCCTGGTCTAATCGACTGAGGCTTCTCTTTTTTCCCATGCCAAGAATTCGCTGGCATTTGGACTGATTGGTTCTCATCAAGGATGAGTTTTGAATAGGCGGATATATTAATTTCAGTTAGGTATGTTGACCTATTGGGAGCTTGCTTAAGTGCTAAGCCTCCAAGGATTCTTGCATTGCTTTCCACTTTCCTGGCCGGAGTATTTTGGGGCTGTTCCCATCGAATGTGTGGTTGTGGTTGTCACGAGAGCCATCATAACATGGAGTTCGGCAGCCAGCTTGTGTTTATGTGGGTGTTATGTTACCGGTCTGCCTAGCTGTCCCATACAATGGTGTTCGTGATTATTGCAATCAAATTTTTAGTTAGCATCAGTCATTTTTTCTTTGTTGACTGGATATTTTGGCATGTATAAGATACATTGTGGCGATTTTATTGGTTTCTGTGGCAATGGTGTTCCAAGCGGATGCAGCAATCCGGTTATTGTTTCAAAGATATTTCTCATGTATGTGAAAAGGTTCTCCCACAAATTTTTTCGGTGGGTTTTGGTTTTGTTCACCTGGAGAAACATCTCTTGATAGGATCCTTTGGACGGCCATCAAATGGGAAGACTTTGAACAAACGCTTTTTCTCAGCTCGCGTCGACGCTGCTGTGTTGCGGTACACGTCTGCCAGTCGAAATCACCATAATATACTAGTTTTTTTGTGTGGTATCGGATTAATGGTGCTTTAGCTGGGGACCTGGCTGACATAAGTTGTTTTCCCGTCGACTTGAATTTAAAGTGTCCATTATCACCTTTTGTAATCAAGGCATCTAAGAATGCAGGTCTTCAGCTATTTCTTTTCTTTCGTGAGTTCGGTTTCTCTGAAAATATAATTAACTAGTCATTTAGTCGATTCAACTTCATCTTACTTAAGGATTACGAATGTGTGGTTCATATGCGGCACCCATAACTACTGTTTGATGATTGCCAAGATTGATAACTCCAGCCATTGCACTGCTGCTTCTGAAATGATCCTTTAAATGCAACTACCGGAGTTTTAATAGCTTGTTTCTATCTTGCTCCGCTGAACTGAAGGCATGTGGGTGGAAAAATGTCTATCAAATCTATAATTTCGGTATCTTGGTTTTGGCTTGAGCTTTCAGGTAATAGTAATTTTGAAGCATACTTGGGAAAATCTCCCATGCAAGCCTATGGCCTGTCGGTGTATGGAGGGATGTCACTGTGAAGCATATGTATATAATTTTCATCGTATTTGATAGTCTAGCTTTTTGACTGAATAGGATTCTAGCTTCGTGTACGTTGATGCTTCCTGGGATAACTTTGTCGAGTCAACTGTTGTCTGTCCTTTGGTTGTCGGTGAAATAATATCTCTGTCATCTTTGAGCGGATGGAGCTCCTACTGGTCCTTACGAATAAAATCGATGCTCTGGGGTTCGCATTTTATGAGCAGAACTGCCACTTGACGAATTTACTGCTCTTCATCACCTGTGAGATTTTCGGGATTTAGGGGGGATGAAAAAGTGCAAAAAACTCTGGTTCATTCGCCTCGATTGCGTTGAAATTCAGTCCTTTTACTGGTGGGCAGGGGATGTTTACCAAAACATCCCCGCAAACTTTGTTGTTCAGTTTTCCTGACAGTTTTCCCATTTTCACACTGAGTTTCTCTCAACACCTAGATTGATTGCGTCTAGTAGCAAAATGAATGGCTCTGGTCAGTGCTTTGAAGCTGTTCCAATCTAGAATAGGCAGCAGATAAATGATCTCAACATCCGCCTCCCGTTGATATTTGCCTAACTGCCTGTGGGTCTCTGAAATTAGTGCAAGAAGCGTTCACCGTCCATCTTCTGTGCTACTTGGCAAGCTGATGGCCCATTCATTGGTGATCTTTACCTCAGATTGATTGGAAAAGTGTACATGCATAAACGCACACAGGATATCATATGCCGCGAGCCATCGCCTCCGCTCCGATAACCGATTCTCAGGAATTCCTCCAAGAGACTGATGGCGGTTGTGACACTGTTCCAACCGGAATAATGTCACTCGCATATGTTCAGCATATCAGGTTTCGCCAAGACCTACAAGCAAAACATTTGGCCAAGTAAAGCACCTCAAATTTTGGGTGAAGTGAAGGCCGCTAATCATTCTTCTTCCACATAATGTCAGAAAGAAATGACTGGTTCGTAGCGTCTCAGTGACCTCCAGTCATTTTGATCCTGATGCGTTACAAATCAGCGAGTGGTCGCAAGTAACACTTTGAACTTAGTGTGAGCACAAAGACTGCAGAACTTGTGAAATGTAAGTACTTTTTCAAATAAGGAGCCTACAAGCAACATAACAACAACAGTCTGACCGCATGGAAAGTTCGTCGCATATGCAATCACTGGTAGGCATGACATTACTGTGTGAGGTAGCAGTTCTGGAGTATATAGTTTCATGAGTGGATGAAAACAGTAAACCTGCTGATGTTCTAGGATGAAACATTTGCTTCTGTACTTGTTGGTTTGGTGCTAGATGGAGATAAACATAGTTTCCTCGCGGTACCTCAAACAGGCGGGATATCAATCTCACCGTGCTTGATTCCAGAGTGAGCATCTATAGAAGAGAGGGGAAGAAGAAAGACGAGGGAACACAGCACTTACATTTATTCCTAACCTTGAAATATTCCAACCTAAATGCTTCACTACTCGTTGTTATGAATCCGTCCCTTAGATGTTTTCTTCGTTTTAAAAACCACTGAGTTAGCCTGTCACTCTAAGGTGGTCTTTCAGCAGGTTTCCCAGGCGTAAGCCAAAGAACGAAGGATGATGTTGAACAAGAGAGTTTATCCTTAGGCCTCTCTTAAGTCTTCGCGATTGGGCAAAATTTACCAGGGGACCATTTACTCAAGTGAGCGCAGTTCATATTCGCGGGCAACGCACAAAAAACTTGAGTTGGAAGGAATAATGCCGCAAATCAACTCTTGGGTCTCATACTGACATGGAACGCGATCGCCATCAACCAATGAGGGTAGATATTCTAGGCCAGCCACAATCTCACGTTGATGTGTGAAACCTAGGTTCAAAGCTGATGGTCGATGCGGTGACTCATAACATGTAGAGCACGAGGAGTGTGCACTCTAGTGCGGTCAGCAGCAGACTGTTACGAAAACCGACACAGTGATAACGTGCTTTTGCCGACAGATGGGAGGTGAGAATAAGTCCCCAGTAATCACGCATCCATTGCCATAAAGTGACGTGAGATATGAGACTAGACTGTCATAAAGTTATCAAACTTCGCACAGTCTTAGGCCTGTTTCTGGCCTCCGGAGCATGTTCGTCCAGACTAGTACCCACTTAGACACTCTCATTATCCTCTTCACGCACTAGAACCTCAGTCTCCGGGCTATTTTATTATCGCTAACACTACCAGTGTCATCATCTGACTCTAAACTAATCATAATGTTATTGTCGATAAATTTACGAGACAATTTTTAGACACCACTATTTCTGTGGCCCCTTGTATCAACAACGCAATTGGCTTGCAAAAGGTATTGCATAGTCAAGAAGAGAGAGGTTTACTGCACCTTTTGTAATCCGCCGGTGTCAATCCAGCGCAAACTTGGTGGAAGCACACTCACCACACCCATCACACTGCATTCTCTCAATAACGGCTAACTTGCAACCTGGTCGCCTGCAAGAGGATGTCTTTGAAATTGCGGTGAAACTAACAATTAAAGTAAAACAACCTACACAGAACCAAGCCAAAGCGAATATATTTAGAACTAATATGCAAACCAAAACGCAGATGAAAACAGATGACAGAAAATGGAACACTCATGACTTACAAACATAAACATTCATAACATCAGTTTTCAATTGGAATGTTTCCAGTTGAAGTTAACCAGTGTGTCTTCTGATGTGCTGAACACAATTACATTGTAAACACATAGAAATTAAAAACATTATTCTCGGCCATTTTAGGTTTCTCAATGTCGAGACAAGCCTGCATTAATTTTGAATGAATAAATTTTCTGTTGGCTAAAGAATCGAGACTCAGTGGGCTATCTTTCTGACATTCCTGCTGCGTTTAGTTTTAATCTGCATCCAAAGGTCAAACTGCTGGCGAAAGTTTAAATTCGATTCCGGGATGACCTTGAGGACGCATCATGCATCAGTTACTGAGGTGGGTATGAGGGCTATGCGTTATTGTTTTCATTCTTTCGACGTATGTGATTTTGTTTCGATTGATTAGCTGCCTCTATTGGCTTAAGCAATGTAAAATGTAGGTCATCCAACGATTTTCGGAATAAGATAGCCTTTATATTGGCATGGGAATGTCAATGCAGGATGCGAATTGTCATAATTATCTCGGTGAATCGTTTGTATATTACTAGTGATCCCTCAGTGTTGTGTTAACCCTAACCAGGGATAATTAAATGTTTAATTTCAGAGTGATCATATAAGTCGTTTAAACCACCTACCGTCCCACCGTTGAACATGTGACTTCAGAAAACTCGGAATTGATTTTGACGTTGCATTTCTAAAAAGTTTCTGTTGGCAGTGATTTCCCAAAAGCATTTCTAGGGCGGAAGTGTATTGCCTTAGACAATGGGTAGTTCCAGCTTTCAGGATTATGGAGGATGGTAGACTGAGTAGTCAGTATTAATCCTGGCAGTGTAAGTCTTTGTGAAGACCTATTTTCTTTTTGAAAGCATCTAAAAGTTCTGGTTAGAGGTTTCAATCGTGGACCATTCTGTGAGGGTATCTGCGTTCGACTCATCGTTCATTCGACCGTAACATTTTTTGATAACCTCCTGGGTAATTAGATCAACATCCATGTCGTTACTCAAGGTAGGATATCACAATATAGGATCTTCCTTTTTCCAACAATGGGATAATGAGGTATGAAAGACTTTCTAACTGCTTTTTATGTGGAAGATGCGAAAGTCTTGTCACTGATCTAGTGCCCATCCTTTGCATAGAAGTACCTTTTTGTAAGTGTAATTGGTTTAATAGTGGATAAAGGACACTGTTTCCAAGACATAAGAAACAATCAAAGTAATCTACATTACCTCCCTCCAGTCCCAACGAACATAGACGTCGTCAGTCATACATAGCTGAATCATTGGGAATTCACAGCTTAAAACCTGATGTTTGTGTTCAGGAACATCACATGGACTCATTAACCTTGCAATGGCTTCAGTATTAATTTTCTTCCATCTTTATAAAAGTATTTATTTGACTTTTGAACAGTAAAGTAATCACGCGACCAACTGATCGTCGTGGCCGTGCTGTTTGGTATTAGACTTATTTCTTTCCAATGATTATCAATACGATTGTACAACTGTAGCAAATGACATCGTTGAAAAGAAAGCTTTTGTAACTGCTACGTCTAGACCCCGTTATCACCACTTCAAACCTCTAATGCAACATGGGCATCATGAAATGCACCACCGCAGATTATTAATGCATAATATTGACTAAAGTTGCTGACTCTGTAAGTCGACGTGTTGATATGTTCACAAACATTAAAACGAAGGTTGACTGTCTTTCTGACTATCTTTTTCTTGAATAGTTTTTCCTTGAAGTACTTTCTCGTTTTAGTGTAGTGTTACCCTTGAAATAGGTTTTATAAGCACCAGAGAGAGCGTGAAACCGTGCTTCCGTTATCACTTTTCGCGGTGGTATACGAAGAATAAGTGAAGAGGAAAAGAATGATATCAAACTAGAACAATAATTTTAAGAGAACAAGACATTTGAAAATGAAAGTTGGCGCAATTATTGAGGCTTTGGATGTCAAGGAACGAACACACTTGCGTCGCTGTGACCGATTCTGAAACATGTCACCAAGTGAATATAATACTGTGTGACGCTATATTTAGTTGTAGGAATATATGAATCATGTGATGACATCACTAATATACAGACAGGTGGACTAACAAAACAGTGCACAAAAGTGCAATGGTTTATATGACGGGACTTTGCAGGGGTATTGAAAAATAATTAAATATAGAATCACAATAAAATAAAGTGAATGAGAGAGAATAAATAAGCAGGTTAATAAAATGTTCAAATATTTGCCGACTCCAAATAGTTTTGCGTCACTGCGGTGGGTTTTGATGTATGTTATCAAAATAACATGCATAAAGTGAATGTAATCGTTTGCTAAGGTGCAATATAGATATTTCAAGCGTTATGCATTTACTTGTTCTTACTTTGCAAAGAAATAGTAGCTTTATGGGCTTATATATTTGTTTAGGGAATACGAAGGGTTATTACTATTACGTACGTTTTACTGATTAAATTTTGTTTTAGAATGACTCCGAAGTATGCAATTTCGTTATTCCCGTTGCGAAAGCAGACTTACTCAAACGTGCTACTCCGAACGCTTATGTTGTAAATGATGTTATTTCCCTCAGGAACTTGAGGAGCCACTTAACAAGTAAGTCTTAGGTATCCCGGACCTTATTGCCTCATGTTATTAACATATCATGTTGTTGTATTAACCAGCATCATCAGACAGTACCCGAAGGCACATTCTATTTTGATCGTGATATAAAGCAACAAATCTACATTCTTTATGGTCTAGTCACCAATATATTGTCACTGTGATTTGAACAGTGCACTAACCTAAACTTTTGATAAATATTTTGTGCAGAGATGGGATGAGTTTTCTATTCGGTACCATCATATTTACACCTTGCTGTGTAATTTACCTCACCACTGGCTTGCTGCTTAAGTGACTTCTTAAGAAAGTATTAAAGTATATAATTTTAGTGTCAAGTTACAGTCTAACAACGACCAGCTAGAACCACTTAGTGAATTATAGTTGACCCTATACATCGAAGTTCGATAATCCAGTTATTAAATTGACTGTATTTGTACCATTTTTGAGTCAGATCGTGTAAGTAATAAGAAATAGTAATTAGTGTATTAACAACGCATAAATAAAGAAGCCTCAAACTCTTTAACCCAGCGTATGCGTACAAAATTATGCCACTAGATGAAGACTGATAAAACGCAGTCTTCTGAAAATGAGTGACAATTAGTGTTTGGAATTTACTTCTCATTGCCAAAATGCAAATTGTTACTTGAGGACTGATCTTCATTGATACATTGTCTGACAATCATAAGTGGAAGGGAGCATGTTGACCACTTCTCCCACCCAAAAAGTTATATTAGCCCTTGTGCATTGGTGGTCGACGGGATATCGGTACGGATGCAGAAGACTCACCCATGTCTTACCAACTCATACCATTTGTAGCGCTGGGGAAATATGCAATCGTTTACCAAGGTTAGAATGTCCTCCACAGAAGTCCTCTCTGCCCTACTCTATGGCTGTAAAAAATGGCCATTAAATTTGGAGGATATTAAGGTTCTAAGTATTTGACCACCAATACCTTCGTAGTACTCCCTGCACATAGGCAAGCCGTCATGTAATGTAATAATGTAAAGGTTAAGCGTAGAGTCTTGAGTAAGGCAGATAAATTGGCTAATAAGTTTTTGAATCTTTGTCGACTTGAGGTGGTCAGGATACGTGTTAAGCATACTCAGTCGATATCTGCTTTGACGTATAACGTTAACTCAAGTAGAGTTTGCTTCGAAAAGCCTACGGACGGTCAGACTAACAAATGACACTATTTCAATAAGTCTGACGGTTGATTTGAGTTGCATTGGAAAAGGTAAGTTTTCCGGGTTCATGAGACAACAGAATCTGATGGTTACAGTTTCTAGATGATACGACTAAAAACCTGTTACTCAATTTTATCCGGAGTAGGATTGGATTGGGGGATAGCAAAGGGTAACCCAAATCAAGGCGTGACATAAGTTCAAAAGTCTTTGACCGTTTTTTTTTGGAACGTATAAAGTGGTATGGGCTGTATGGCTGGGGTCCTGAAACCGATGAACATCAATGGCTGAATGCACTTAATGACGACTCAAAATCGACCACAACAGCGCAGATGCTTACACTCTTCGTCTTTGAGATTTCGAATATTAACTAACCCCCATCTATTTATTGCCTACTCTTTCATACAATTTTGTCTACCATGAAATATCTGATAAGTGGATCGAACAAACTAGTCCGAAAGTGATCCAGTCAAAATGCACTTTGTGTTACTGACGTGGACAGTTAGACTGCCGGATGATCTCAGTCAATATTATTGTTTACAAACACTGGTCTATGTATATATTTATATATATTCTCTTTTTTGTTGACTACTTCGGGTCTTTAAACTGAATATATGTCCCTACACGTCTAACTGTCTATGAATTAGTCGGGTCGGGAATCAACTGGGAATTTGTAGAATGTTGGTGGTCGATATCCGTCCATCGATAGCAGCTATAGCAGTCTGAAAGTATAATAATAACTTTCCCTATCCACTTCTGCTTTGCATACTGCACACAAGTATGCCAACGTGAACATATGCGACTTTGTGCCATGTCCTACTGTGATTTGTTTAGATAAGAATCGATTGCGTAGAGTAGATGTATCCGCAACATGTCTTCATCTTAGCCGTTATTTCACATTTTGTCATTCTTTTAGCCCCTTTTTAGATTTATGGCTGTATAAAACTTTTGGTTTAACTGTGTCCATTTGTCTATCCTTTTTCTTGTTGCCTAGTATCGTCAGGTGATGTGGGTTATAATAATATAAAATTTTGCGTAAAAATACCAGGTCACAGGTTGATTTTGACTTATTGTGATGTTAGTTGGAGCCCTTAAACATTCCCTTAAGAGTGGTTTCTACTAGCTTTCGACTTCAGCAACCATTATGCTTGCTTACAGATTCTGATGCGTGTCAGCCTTTGATCTTGACTTTTGCGCCACACGACCTCATATTTTGGCATTGCTTTTGCCCGATCGACGAAACTACTGGCTCTATATCGGTTAGTCATTTCAATTCACAACCATTCACTCGACTATAGCATACACAACCCTTTTATCTATAAGTCCAATTACTTCGAGTCTTAACGGTGCACAAGGATGCGCATTAAGCTTTATTTGGTTTTTATGTTTTCGCAATCTGGGTCATTTTCTATGCCGTTACCCCGTCTTCCCTTGAAGGAAGCATATGTCTTTCTTGCCGACATTCGCGTACAGTGCCGGAATTTTTCTATTCTAGGTATCAGTTTCTTTTTTCAGTGAATTTCCCTATCGCACTTCTACAGCTGCTACTACTGTTGTGCCCACAAGCTTTCTGGAAACCTTTACAAACTCTTGGATACTCATGGGCAGCACTGTGTTCACAAGTTTCAGCTGCTTATCAATTGCGCACAGCATGCTCTCTACGAGGTTTTGCCAACAGTTGTGCTCCTAGCTCCTCATGAGTGTTGGGCTGTGCGCTGGTTGACGAGTTTTCCCACCAGCACCAGCTGGTCTTCATCTGCATCTATCCTGGCTCTCTTGGACTCCTGCGTAGCATTCACCCTATCCACTGGGCCGTCAAACTCCACTACCATCTGAGTTGGTACTGAGTATTTCACCTTATTGAAGGCTCTTTACTCGAACACCTATGGGCGTGTTAGAGCCTATGGTGAGACTTCGGGTGAGTTGTGTACGTCGAGTGGTATCCATGAAAGATGCTCATTCTTATTCAATTTGATCTTTGACGTTCTAATGGAGTTCTCTCTCTCGACGTCCGACTACATAGGGGTTGACCTAATCACAAGAGGATTTCCGGTCGACCTAGAGTACACAGATGACTTAGTCCTGTCAGGTGAAGACGCTGACAGGAGGCAGAGTCTACTGGACACCTTGAGTTGCAATTCGAGAATGTTTTGGATGCGTTTTTTGCTACCCAAATGCAAAGTCTTGCTTCAGGGCTGGTCTTGAACGATACCCTGGCTAACAATAGAGAGTGAAGTGGTCGAGTGTGTTAAACACTTCACTTACCTGGAAAGTCAGATCAGCCCTAGTGTCTCAGTGACCGACGAAATCTCTGCATGAATACAGAAGGCTCGGTTGGCTTTTGCTAACTTACGCCATCTAGAGGCCCGCCAGGATATCTGCTTGTCTATTAAGGGTCAAGTGTACCGTGCTGCAGTTCTCTCTGTTTTGTTGTATAGCTGTAAAATATAACCACTAAAGGTAGAAGACATAAGAAGGCTTCAAGTGTTTGACCACCGTTGCCCTCGTAGTACAGACTGTGTTTCCTGGTGTCGCCACATGACTAACGCAGAAGTCAGGCGTAGAGTCTTAGGCAGGAGAGGTAAGTTAGATGATATGGTTTTGAACCTTCATCAACTGCGATGAATGGCTGGGACATGTGTTACGTATGCCTAGCCACCATCTGCCTCATCGTACAATGTTGGCCGAAGTAGGTTCAGGTTGGAAAAAGGCTCAGGGCGGCCTGACTAAAACATGGCATCAATGCATGAAGTCCCTGACCGCTCATTTGAGCCGTGTAGGGCGATACAGACTAGCTGGTTGGTGTCCGTGAGACAGGAGAAACCAGTGGTTAGAGACTCCAGGTGATATGGCTCAGAACTGATGTCAGTAGCACAGATGTATGCACATATTATCCTCATCTTAACCGCTATACTTAGTCTCATGACTTTCTCATTCCCCCTTCTCGTTTAGTACTTTCTACTTCTTCCTACCAATCTTTCTTTTTTTATCTTCTATTTCGTTGCATTGTTCCTTGGTGTAGGAATATAAGGTGTGGGGACATGGACCGTTACCCAGTAGTGCCTGATCCTGTTGTGATTTTGATGATAATGATGCCACCATCCAAGCAAACATGTCTTCCCATACGTCTTTCTTCTGCACGTCATTCACCTCTTTTCGCCTCATCCCGTGGACCACCTTCACCTGACCTTAAGAAGTTCCCCAACATTACTAACTTCTGCTCCTCCTTCTTGGCCCCCACCAACTTCACAGCTCCTTCAAACTCTCAGAAACGTCTGGATATCTCTATTTTCGGTTGCTAGAGACCAGTCTGTCGTCAACTGAAAGATAAGCAGCGACACCAGTGAAGAGAAGTCCAGTGAGCAGCTAAATTGTTTGTTGAGAGAATGCAGTTCGTAATGGTAAATTTTCTATACTTAGCAATAAATCACCCATCTGCAAATTGTGTCTTATCCTGCATGTCATTCAACCCAGTTCTTGCGCTTTACATTTCCATGTTCTTTTTGTCTGATTTCTCACCAACCCACCGTTATCACTCTCGACCTCTCCCTATATACTACTTATATGTATTCTTATAAGTAGCTCTTACTTCACCACAAATAGATAATTTCATCTCATGCGGTTTGTTTCGTTGATAAACGTATGCTTGCTATATATTTTGCTCGATGAAAAATAATAGTAATTAGTACTGCTAGTTGTATGGATGCGCTAATGAAATGAAAACATTTTTTCAACTCCCTTGTTTGGGTCTGTTATTGTCTTTATGTAGTGAAAGCTTTCCTTTCTTTCATTTTCAAGAGTGTCAACGGGCCCTTACCAGTGAAGGTTATGCATATATCTTGCAAGAATTCGATGCACTATTTAGCGTATTACAGTAAGTGTTTGTGTTTTAATTTTTTTTCTAATGTTTACCTTTCTAGCGAATGGCAAAATGTTGACTCAATAGTTAAGGAAGAAGCTTGGCATATTGTCTTGAAAGGTAAGGTTGATTTTCGTTTTTCTTAAGTATGGATTCTAACTTTGATTTACCTTCTTGAAATATGTTTTGGATGTAATATACCCAAGTGGTTATTCACTTTTTACAAGACATTTCTAATCAAGGTGTAAGTAAGCACAGTCCGCTTGTGCACAGAACTTCATGATTGACAGATAGACCGACGTGGAATCTCGTATAAATCCCTGAGGGTCAATTTGTCAAACATTACAAAATTATGGCTCAAAATTAATTGAATGCCAGTGAGCTTAAAAGATAGAGAGGGTACACAGATATAGACTAAGATGTTGGGAATTGTCTAGGATGGTCAGTTTCGAACTATACCGCCAAGGATATCTCACCAGTGACTTATAACTTCTTGACAATGCCAATATTTCAAATCATGTATATATATATATATATATATATATATATATATATATATATATATATATATATATATATATATATATATATATATATATATATGGTTGTTTCAGGCAAACTTAGGTTTTTCAATTTAGGGGTTTGTGGGGATTCATTGATTCCGAGTTGTAATATATAGATAGTTTTCACGGTTGTAACATGCTATTCGCTTAACTGTCTTAGTAATGTTCAAATCTCGTGGAAAAACATTGATCACATAGCTACTTTCTATGTATACTAACACCGAGTTTGTATTCAATCTGTATGTCTTTCAAAGAATATTTAAGTAAAAACCTTTATCATTTGACTATCTGAGATAGCCGTGGCTTGACAGACTAGCATGGACACTCGGTGACGACTGAAGGTGAAGTGAAAATTTGAATCGCATCTGGATTCGAACCAGCAGCCACCGGGTTTCTGGCTCGATGCTCTACCAAATGAACTGCGAGGTCCGACTACTGACCAGATTCTTATTTCATTTCCAGCACCAAGGCTTCTCCCCGACTACCATATGAATTCGTGACGCTTGACCGTAGTAGTCCTGACTAGGCAGTCAGAGTGTATACGATCATGCGTCAGTAATGCGATACGAATTCACATGATGGTCGAGCAAAACCCTTGATGATTGGAGTGAAATAAAAATCTGATCAGCAGTTGGACGTCGTAGCTCATTTGGTAGAGCACCGGGCCGGAAACGCTGTGGTCGCTGGTTCGAATCCGGGTGTGGTTCAGATTGTCATCTCAACTTCAGTCATCACCCGGTATAAGAGCCTTTAGTTAACGCAAAGTTGTTGGTTTCCGTAAGTTCTGGGGAAATTTCGTATCACAATTTAACTCATGAAATCAACCCTCTATTTTAATACCGCATCTCTGAATCAACCACATTCATCGTTATAAGGTTATATTATTTTATTTCCTCCAACCAAATTGAAACGCACCCAGTAATCTTGTTTTCACTCATGCAGTCCCCAATGAGCCACACCTATCGTATGGGGGCTAATGATACCTGGCTTCCCAAACCTTGGTAATTGGGGTGGTATTCGAACCCGTGACTCACTGCTTAAAAGTCAACTGTCTAAGCTAATCAACCACAGCTTCGCTGTCCATTAACCACCTCGTCACCAGTCAACAGGTAGACATATTATACCAGCGTAAGAGCTGGTAGTGCTGCATTCCAGTCCAAGTTACCACACTTCATATCACCACATCACGTGAAAATACACTGAAATGCAAGATAAGGAAACAAAGAAGAAAACAGACAAAAGTAACAAAAAGTCATCTGAAGAGAACAAGAAAGGAATAAGAAGATACTAAAATTGATATGACGATTAGGATGAAGATAGTGTGGGGACACAGCTGTGTTGCTGAGGTCGATTGTGAACCATATCACCTAGAGTCTCCAACCACTTGTTTTCGTCGTCACATAGACCCCAACCAGGAAGTTGACATTTACTACATAGTTCAGACCAACAGTCAAAGATTTCTGTGACTGATGTCATGTTTTCAGTCTGATTGCATTTAACCTTTCTTCAGCCTGAACCTACTCCAGTTAACGTGCGATGAATCAGATGATGACTAGGCATGAGTAACTGTTGAGGATGTTTGTTCCACAAATATGAACCTTTTATGCCTAATTTTCTTTAATTTACCGTCCGAACCTTCTACCACCTGATGTTTATCGCTCATTTTTATCGCTTTTATAAACTCTATTTCTCTGTTGGTTAGTCTTCCACTTTTCATATCCTAGTATGTCTTTTCACCCCAAAGATCCTCACACTGTATAAACACAAGGTTTGCGCCTCTGGATTCATGCTTTCCGATTAAAGTAGACTCTTCTCAGTCCAATATTGTCTTTCCCTTGTGTTGCGGGTGATAGCCACTCCTTGACGTGGTAGTCGGGCTCGCATATCACAACGACCCAAAAAGCTAAACTGCCTGGAACTCTTATCTCCTCGGCGTCCTACCATTCCAGAAAAGTCTGTTGGATAATGGTAAGGCGACAAGCAGCTACCATTGTAGTGTGAATGACTACACTATGATGGGGATCTGAGGGCGAAGTCGTACCGCTGCTAGCTGGATAGGGCGTGACAACAGTAACGTGTTTCCCTTGGATTACCAGCACAGCCATGCTGATGCTACCTTCCCAATGGGAGGTAGAGAGAGAAATAAAAGGTCGAACCCAAAAATAGCACACTCCTTCCTGCCCAACAGTCTCCCGGTGCTAGCAGCATGGGTTGTCTTTAGCCGACGTTAGAACAACCAAACCTGAAAATAACCTGCAAAATGCTGTGTATGAAAGGCTTCAAGCACGTGTCTCACGGTGTCTGTGGTCACAAATATTTTTCTCTTTCAGTTACATTAAGAAGAAATGGCCTTCCATGGTATGGACAGCCGGGAAGTGTCAACCGCTCGCACGCTTCTATTAGTACGTAAGACAATCATACATAACCTATCCCCTTATTTCTATCTCCCTCCTTGACTTCGCCCCCTGAAATCAACATTAAACCTCTTACGCCTTCTTCAACTTCTCACTCTGCGACCATTGCCAATGATCAAGGCCACCCAAACCTCATTCTCCTAAGACACCACCATCAATTTTGTGTAGGATTTATAAACGTTCAAACTCTATGCCAAATCGGACAGCAAGCATCGCTCGCCAGAACTCTGGAATTTCGAGCTGCGGATGTATGCTGTGACTCTGAGACACGTGTCCAGGACCCGTGTGTGTTAAATTGACCTCACCTGGCCAAAGTAGTAGATTTTCAAAATTCACCTTACGAGTATCCGGAGATGCAATAGCTCTCGTGGCCTTGCTGGATTAGGCACAGCATGGAGCTGTAAGGCAGAAAGTGCGCTTATCGACTGGATACCAGCCGTCTATGAGCTGTTTGACTGAATGGATCTGTAAGGGCTGAAAGGGTCATGAGGCTAAGCGATGTCTATTCGAAACCTCCGCCTAAGCACCCATCGACTGAAGTTCAGATGATGCAAAAGATGAATTCTGTCAAAACCTGTCAGATTCGCTTGAGAAATCAAAATTTTCAGATGTAGTCATAATGGTAGGTGACTTGAACGCTCAAGTAGGAAAGCTGAGCCGATCGGAAAGGCATCTTGGAGATATCTACAGAATCCAATACCACCGAACCGAAAACTGTCATCTGCTTTAATTTTGTTCCTACAATCACTTGTTTCTGGGCAGCACTTAATTTAGGCTTAAGGAAAGACACTGTCTCACATGGCGTCTGCCGACATAAAACCAAGGATGGACACAGATAGATCATATTGCTGTCAGCCATCGTTGAAAAGGACCGGTGGACGATTGGCGCTCTTTCTGGAGCACCGGTTTGGACTCCGACCACAAACTACTTTGTGTTCGTGTGTGTCCGCACCTTACAACAGAAAAAAGGAGGCAGTGAGGCCTATCTGTCCTCGATTTTTAGATGAGGACGTCAACTACTCATTTAGAGAACGGTTACCCAAGTATTTATCTAAACGTGATTGCACTTCTCATCCTGAGGAAACGTGGTGTGATGTTAAGTCTTCTGTAGAAAGGCGGTAAAGAGAATTGGTAACCTACACCCTAAGGTTAGAAAACGCCTTAAATTTCCGCAATGTCATCCGAACTAATTGGTGCTCAAAAACTTATCCCAGTTGATTCTGACCACAATGAAAAGCGAAAGCAACCAACCACCAAGAGGTGGTGATGGATGGCGAGAGCAAGAGAGATGAAGGCATCATCGTTGGATAGCACTCAGCAACTATTTAGGCTTATTAGGAATACCTGCAAGAAGAAGACGATGGTGAGTGAAACCATCACCGAGAGGGATGGGACCCTGATAAAATCCCAGAACAGGCTGCTAGAACGTTGGGCGGAACACTTTGAAGCACAATCCATCTGGCCCTCAACAACGCTTCTGTTACCCAGTATCCAGCCCTGGCATGAATAAGACGTAGACGTCGGTCCTCCAGCTCTCCTTGAGGTTGAGAAAGCTGTATGGAACCTGGAACGATGCAAAGCAGCAGGGCTTAAGAGTTTTTCACCTGAAGTTTTCAAGGGTGAAGGTAGGAAACTGCTGATAAGAGTGACGGAGGTACTAGTTAGTGTATGGGAATCAGAGGTAGAGCCGTCAAACTGGTCTGGTTCACTGATCATCCCAGTTTATAAGAAGGGAAAGAAATCTTGCGACAACCATAGCGGAATTTTTCGGACTAATATTATGTCCAAGATCCTAGGGTCCTTAGTTTTTCGATGCCTGTGTTGCTCGAGAACAGCGAACTCGAGAAAACCAGGCAGGTTTCAAACCTGAATGAGGGTACATCGACCATTCTTCACCCTCCGGCAAGTTCTTGAACACAAGCATGCCTAACGGCCAGTAGCTGACACTTGCCATATTTTTTGACCTGAAGGGCGCCATTTCACTGTGTCGAGCATCAAGTTTTGTGTCAGTGTCTAACTGCGAAAGAAATACGGAGCAAGTATATGACACTAATCAAAACTTTCTACTCGAACTGTCGTACCTGTGTCAGGGCTTATGGAAGGCTGTCATCAGAATTGACGACACCTAGTAGTGTCCACTAGGGATGTCCTCTGTCGCCATTCCTGCTCAGTTTCCTTATCGATGTACTAATGGACATAACCTTAGGTACGTTTTATCTACTCCTCGGATGGCATCTGATTGACATGGAGTATACACAATATTGTCCTGCTGGGGGAAGACAGCAGCAAAATATAGGGTCTTCTAAACGCGTTGAGCGTTCCACTGGCACCTGTCCAATCCAAGATGAGGCTTCAGGACTGGTCTGCAAGCACTCCTAGTTTAATGATAGGTAGTAAAGTGATGGAATATATCAACTACTTCACTTACTTGGGGATTTGCATCAGCCTGAAGGGGTTGGTTGGTTACAAAATCTCAGCTCGGTACAGAGGGTCCATTTAGCATTTGCCAACTTTCATGATCTTAGACGAGATAGATATCTGACTGTCTATCAAAGGACGAGTATACTGTACTGCAGTTCGTTCTGTCCTGTTATACGGCTTTGAGGTAAGCTCGGTGGAAGTAGGAGACATGAAGTGGTTACAGGTTTTTGATTATAGGTGTCTTCGTAGCATTATTCGCGTCCTGGTCGAATCACATTGGAGCAATGTTGAGGTCGGGCAAAGGATACTAGGTAAGACAGGCAAGTCGATTGACAAGGTTGTGAACCTTAGTCGACTGAGATAGCTTAGACATGTACTGCGCATGCCAAGCCACCACCTACCTCGACGCTCCTTACCATAGTTAAGTTGAATTAGGTTGGTAGAGGGCTTAGGGTTTCCAGACCAAGACGTGGTATAAGTCGATAAAGTTTCTGACTATTCGGTTAGAGCCATGTGAGGTGTAGACTATCTGGCTGGAGTTCCTGAGACGTTAGGAATTAATGCTTGCAGACTGTCAGTGAAATGGCTAAAAATCCGTCACAATGGCACAGATGTATTCATTCCTTGACATCTTTTGAAGCTTGAATATTTGCACTAACCGTTATCTTCAAATTATTTATTGTCTCACACAACTTTTTGTACTTTGATATTAGTCTCTTTCTATCCACATGTTTCTTCTGTATTATTATGAAATGTGGTAAATTTAGCTGATGCATTTGTGTGCGAGGTTCTACGTTGATTTTTCCAGCCAGTTAGTCTCCCTTGTGTTAGCCGACCAAATTGTCAAGTATCGTATCGTTCAGTAACTAGGTTGCGCGTCCCTAGTTAACCGTATCTGAAATCTCAACAGTAACATATGCCCCAGCTACATCAGTCGATAAACGTTCACAACCGCATCGACTTACTTTCATTTTCTCCCTAAAACTTTGCCCCTCATTTCTACGTTACTGACGTTGTGATACCGCGACATACGGTCTATACTATAACACTACTCATCTGATTAGAAACATATTGTAGCACAGTAGAATCAGAGTCGGAGGAAATGTGTGTTTTAAATTTCCCAACTCAAGGAGTATTCAAAGTATTTCATTGAGGTATCTCCCTACGAACAAAATCATAAACTGCTAAGGAAAGTAACTGGAGAATCGTGCACCCATATATCAAGATAATTTCAGAAATGGCAGCCAGATTGACTGTATCATCGTGGAATCACAACATCAAATAAACCAGTCTGCTGCAGATTATGCAGATAAAGGAAAACGAACCACTGTGATCTATGAAGTCGATGGTTATTTTTCATGTTATCGAAAATACCCATTGAGAAAGTCAATTTTATCAAATAATGACGCCAATACGTTTGACAGTCAGGCAGACCAGTGTTATAAAGCCTTCATGAACACCAGCTAACTATCAAATGTCATTTTTATGAAATTTTATAGGTCAGTAGACTGGAATAACTTTGAAATGCTTAAAAGTCCAACCTTGTAATCCGTTAGGGAATTTTCGAAGGTCTGACATTCAAGCAGTTAGGCAAGAAATCTCCCTATCGATCTAGATGCAATGTATGAGGTTATTATGAAAAAAAACCAATGAACCATTAAAAGCGTGGAAGCACTAGATAGCTGTTTTGTTTTAGTTTGGGACTCTATCCTCGCATACCTATGACACTACAAAATAACGAGCTCAGGACCGTCAGGTCTCACAACGAGCACTCTGCCGTTCACTCGTTGGGTTGAATTTTACATCTTCCTACTTTGTCAATTCATTATACAATGGGACCACCAACCTATGCCATCGGTGAATATTTCATGACATTTGACTTTGTCGATCCTGACGGCTGAATAACAACGTGCTGATTGCGATCCTGGGCGTGATCACTTGTGGGATCGTGGTTGCACACTGCTGAGCAGTTACATATTGGGATGAAACAACTGTCCAGTACTACCAAATTTTCAATATTTCTTCAGCTTTTGTCAGTTCATGATAAACTCCACATTGAAATCGATCAACCCCCACAGACCCACCAATAGAATTAAGATTCACATCTCTACAATTAATGTAAGTTTTTATAGTCTTATCAATTGCATGAAAATAATCGGCTTAGGTTTGTCCACATACCATAAGACCATCGACTATTTGATAATCAGAAAGCTCACCTATTAAACACGATCTGAACAACCTTATTGTAACTTTAGGCATGTGATTACGTCGGTATATTTCAGTGCGGTGTTTTAAGTACTAATAATGTATATCATTTATTGAGGATGTTCCTGAATTAAAAAATGTGACGAAGTTGAATCATATTGCACTCATCTGTAGATATCAGAACATCGTAATTAATAAAAGCGATATTCAGTTTGTTTACGGTCCATTGAAAAGAAGTTGTTGTTAACAGTCATCGAGGAAGGGTGTTTACAACCTAATGAAAATTCATGTTTCGTCCGAGAAACGAATCCACATTACTTACTGTCGAATTCGAAGAACTTACCACAAAAATATTCGGGTAAATTCGATGATTTTCTCAGTAAGCGATGAAAATTTTCATCTAAGGAACGTGACTTTCATCAACGTTGCAGAGACGCCTTTTTCATTGGTGTCAACAAACATGAAAATTGAATTCAAGGACTTCCCACCAGCTAACTATAAACATTTAACACGTTACAGATGTGATTAATATTCGTAACTCTAGTTACGTGTGTTACCTTCCAGTGAGCGATTTGTGTGCCGACTCAAGCTAACCACAATTATAGTCTGTATTTGATTTCACTAATCTTAGGCAAGTTGATTATTTTCAAATGATATTTATCTTAATGAATTGTTTTAATCACAGTTATACTTTTATGTTTTCTGTAACTTTCTAGGATGTGAAGTTTGTGTATCCCAGTTAGGTTCTGTACTGGAATCTGCAGACACTGGTCAGTTGACTTTCAGTCAAAATGAAATGAGTCATCATAGAAATGTATTGAAAATGCATACATATCTACTATGTCAATTTGTTGATATGTTTGAAAATGAACTTCATACCAGCGCTAAATTGGTAGTAGGAACTAATGTAAGTCTTAATTCACTGTTTATTGTTCGTTCATTGGATTTCTTTTTTATGTATATATCAATTGTTTACTACTGTACTTCTTTTAAGAATGTTGAAAAGCTATCATAACTAGGTGTATTTTCCAGGTTGACAGTAGGCGAACAGTTGTCAGATAGAATGATTTAGTTCATAGTAAGGTTGGGATGAAATTGTTTTAGTATAGTCAGTTACTCAGTTTCTTTTTTCATTTTATTCGCCGAACACATCGTAGTTAACTGGCTATATAGTTATTCTAATTCATCTTTAGAACATAACCAATTGTTTGTAAAATCCCGATGAAGTAGAAAAATAAGTTTCTGGCGCATCGCGACCTCATAGAAATCTCTTCTTCAGAGAAGAAAACCTGTACAAGGTTATTGACTTTAAATAGTACTATTCAAATAGTCTTTACGCATCTCTTAAACTTCTTATTTCAGACTGGACGTGGTAAAGCAAAAAGCAGTCGTCGAGCTGATCATGGACCTTCTGATTTGCACTTATCTATGAATTGGTTTGTAGAATGCGAAAAGGCAGTCACTGCTCTCGATCAACTTTGTCGTTTGAAGCTGGATAGACTATGGAATCCATCAATAGTTGAAGGGAGTTATATTAGGTATGCTTTTCATTCAGTACATAATCATTTTCACTGTTTTATTAATTTCATCATTTAATGTAATGAGAATGTCTAAAATATCCTTTTCTTTACTTTTCTATCCTAAGCTTACCAGCTAATTGCTGTTACAAATTGCTTGAAAATCGTGATATGGCTAGTAATACTAGTATTCGACTTGCAGTTAGCAGTTTATTGGCTAACTTGGTTCGTCGTTATGGTCACAATATAGCATGCTCTTGTAAAATGGCTCAACTGTTACAATGTTTCCCCCATATGGTGAATTGCCTTTTAGCTATTGTAAAATATTTCACTGAGAACGAAAAAATGACTGGTTTTGTTCGAGATTTACTGAAGGTCAGTTTTAGAAGCGTTTTATTTATGTTGTTGATCCAAAGATTTTCACTCGATTGCATTTTATTCAATTTACAAAAAAACTATTGTCGATTATTCAACTCACATTTTGTGAATAAGTTACCAGCAAAAGATAGTAATTAAGGCGGTTGTTACAGTCATTCTACTCAACCAGTCCAAACGAGGACCTGCAATACTCAGTTCGTGATGAGATGAACACAACTACGCGCAACCCAACTACTTTGTTTTACCTTAACTTTCTTTGGGAACCAGAATATTTCAGACACAAAATGTGGTCTACATCCATTCTTATCATTGACTAGGATGCCTAAGAGCTCTTGTTTGGATGGTGTATAGCGCTAGTCCTCAAAACTAACCAGTTGGATTTAAGGTAGTTAGCATTCCGTAATACATCAATTAAACGACTCTAATGACTATAAGGTGGTAGTCAAAATACTTGGCTATCGACTGCAGTTGTTTAGTGTTAATTGTTTCCTACTGCTCATTCTGGTTAATCTAAGAGTACTAAGTAAGCACACTCGGAGATCTGAATAGAAAACTGGTGCAGTCTCCTACTACCTTTCGCACAGGATTTCCAACGTAACTAAGTCAAGTATGGCGTCTAATTAATTGACAATCCCTATGCCAATCACTCTTTCACCACTGATTATTTGACCTTGACAGACGAGTTTAATATCTCACTGCTAATGTCAACCGTGAGTTAATCATAAAAATAAGTGATGCGAAATCATATCATCAGCCACACTTCACAGTCGTGTACAAAGAAAAAGTGAGTAGAGAAAGTGATACCAAAGTAGACAAAAGTGTATGAGGTGACGGAATCGATAGACAGTCATCAAAAAATATACAAGCCTCTAAAAATGACAAAGACTGTATACATTTCTGCTATTGTGACCAGTTCTAAGTCGTGTCACGAAGTCTCCGACCATTGATTCCTATTATATCTCGAGGATCCCAGCTAGGTAGTTTCACCTTCTTACACTGCTCATACCAACAGTCAGAGACTTTATGGACGATTAGTGCTATGTCTTGGTCTGGCGACCCTGATCCGTTCTTCAACCCAATCCTACTTCAGCTAACATTGTATGCTGAGGTAGACATTTGTTTGGCATGCATGTTCACGTCACCTTAGTCAGTGAAGGTTAACAACCTGATCCATCAAGTTGTCTGTCTTACTTATTACCCTTTACCTTGTGGTCAGAACCAACTGGAATCACCTTTCTCGCATCAGTCAATCCGGATGACTTTGGGGAAATCCGGTGACGTTTGCTAACTTTTGGGTGTAGGTTTCCAACTATCTACCGCTGTTTCTACAGCATACTAAATATCGTGCCAGGCTTCATCAGAAAGATAATTGCTGCTGTGTTGGGATAGATGCTGCGCTGCCTACTTCCAAATACGTACTCCACGTTCTTATTTTCCAGTCAAGTACAAAGAAGTTTAACTATTGTCTGTTCCCGGTTATTAGTAAGGCTTAGACATACGCGTACCCGTACCAGCTCGTGGTCGGAATCCAAACAGGTACTTCGGAAAGAGCACCAGTCCTCTCGATGGCTTAAAGCAATATGATTTATCTATATCCATCGTTGGTTTGAAGTAAGCGGACCCCATGCGAGTGTCTCTGCTCATGCTTAAAGTTAGGGCTGGCCAGAAACAAGTGATTTTCGGAACGGAATTACACCAGACGATCACCGTTGTCGGTTTGTTGGTATTGGATTCTGTAAATACCCCAAAGATGCAGTTCCGATTGTCTCAGCATTCGTACTTGAGCGTTGAAGTCCCTTGCCATTATCACCACATCTGAACATTTTGCTTTCTGTAGCAAAGTTGACAGCTCTTCATAGAATTCATCTTATGCACCATCCATGTGGGTGCGTAGTCAGAGTTTATGAGTAAATATCAGCTGGCCCGCAATCCTTCCTAGTTCTTACAGTTCCATTCAGTCGATCAGCACACAGGCGACTGTTGATTGGTATCTAGTAGAGAGGTGCACTTTCCACTCAAGAACTTATGCTATACCTATACCCAACCTACCGAGCCCACGGGAAATAGCCTTTGGGTCTCCGGATACTCTGACCGTGTAACACATGGGTTGTGTATGCCTGTCTCAGAAACAAAGCATACATCCATGACTCGAAATTCCAGAGGTCTAGGTAGTAAAGCCTATTTTCCGATTTGGGATGAGGTTGGGTCGTTGAAATCTCCAGCTTGAAATTGACAGGGTGGTCTTAGGAGACTAGAATTTGTGTTTCGACAGCTTGGATTACTAGCGGTGGTTGCAGGATGAGAGGTTGAGAAAGTTGTTGAGGGCTTAATATTGGTACTGGGAGTTGAAGGCAAAGGAGGATAGGTTAGGGTTAACTGAGTTTTTTTATACTGCTGGAAGTTTTCGGGTGGTTGGAACTTTCTGAATTGCCCCCACCGGGGAAAGTGTTTCTGCAAGGTACCCAAAATAAGAAGAGGTATAATTCTGCGTGACTCCGGAGCCAATGGGAAATCTAGTTGAAGCCAGTCGCACACAGTTTCTGCAGTTATGGACTGCTATTATAGTGAGTTACCGCTGTCACTAGCCGACCACATCTCAGGAATGAGTGTTATTTCCTAGGATGTCTTCTAACAGCCTATCAATAGAAAAGGCAGCATCAGGTTATATTCTCAAGAAACACCTTACTACTTTCACACCCTGCACAAACAGGAGTAACAATTTATCCTCGGACTCCCACCATGCCTTTAGGTATTTACACTCTGACAATGACTACTTTTCGTCTTACCACTTTCCAATAGGACTTTCTGACATCGTAGGACCTAAAGTAACAAATGTTTCCACCGCCATAGGTCATTTGGACATCGCGATGTGCAAGCCGGATCAGCACCCCAAGGTAGCACCTATAGGTAGTAGAACCAATCTCGTTAAGTGATTTAGCTCCGACAAGTATTCCAATATCTAGTATCTAGCCGTCAGCTCCATATCAACTTCACAAATATGTATTGAAGACCAAATTCAAAACTTCAACTAAGCATTATTGGCATGATGTGCAGTTCAACAAGTTTTTATCAATACTTTATCATTTCGTTCTCAAGCTTTAGTCATATGCTGCGGTCACCATCCCTTCTTTTATAAGTTCACACATTTTTCTTTAATGTTTTGAATTCATATGCAGCCCGTTATTAATTTTTAACTTCTCATACTTTGACTTCTAGGAGATATGCAGCTATAGTGGGACGGATTTGGAGCGTGACTCAGTAGCCTCTCAAAATTTTTCTGGCTTTTTGCTAGAGGTAGCTAAAGTTTATCCTTCTCTTGTTCAGTCAGTCCTACCATTACTTCGCTCTCGGCTGGATGAAGAATCATATCAGATGCGAAATTGTGTTCTAAGTGTGATTGCAGAAATTCTGCCAATCTTTGCTAAACGTGAACACTTGAATTCTAATGAACGGGTTCAGCGAGATCGGTTGATGGATTTATTACAGGTATGAAGTTATTTGTTGATCTCACAATGCGACTAATGTGTACTTAGTTTAATGTCTTTTTGGCATCTTTGTCTTAAAAGAAACGTTTTTCATTTTACACAAATATAGGAGGCTTGTGATTATTATTCGTTCGGCGATACTTGTATTGACACTGTCTGACGTCCAACCGATTTTCATGTTATTTTTGCTAGGTGTGATTTTTCTATAAATCGAAATACCGTTGCAAAAAGGAATGCTTCTCTTCCTCAATATCGATAGTTTCTGAGCTCAGATAGATATACATAATTCCCTTCACTGGACAGATTCTTGTATGGTTATCTTGTTGCAGTGTATCGTTATGATGTTCTGTGTTACCTTCTGACTGACAAAATCAACGTGGAACCTCGCACACAGTTGCATCAGCTCAACTTGTCACATTTCACAGTAGTATACAAAGAACATCTGAGTAGAGAAAGACTTGTATCAAAGTAGACGAAGTTGTGTGAGCGCATAAACAGTTCGAAGATAACGGTTAGTACAAATATTCAAGCTTCAAAAGATGTCAAGGAGTGAATATATCTGTGCCATTGTGACGGACTTTTAGCCATTTCACTGACAGTCTGCAAGCATTAATTCCTAACGTCTCAGGAACTCCAGCCAGATAGTCTACATCTCACATGGCTCTTGAGCGTAAATCGCTCTTTTGTGTAGCCGTACCACAATCCAAACATTAGCTTTACTTATCTAGAATTTCTAAATATTATGCGAGGATAATAATTAGTCCTTATGAGATCCACTAGACAACTTGAAAAATTGTATCATTTATATATTTTGTAGTTGATTTGCACCACTACCGTCGAGTTTATAACTAATCTATGATTATTTTGTCCCATTAATTTTTAGTGTTTTCCCCCCCTTTATCTCACTCGTTAGGAACACATTCATGATGTGAATGGTTATGTCCGTTCGAAAGCACTGCAAATATGGCATAATATCGTTGTTCAAGGAGTAGGTTTTTCCCTGTTTTTCATTTTTATACTCTTTCAATGTCTTCTGCTATATTTATGGTGCTCGGAATAAATGTGACTGTTTTATTTTCTTACAAAAAGGGAATAAGTTAGTAAAATATAAATTTTCATCTGACTATCTGAGATAGCCGTGGCTTGACAGACTAGCATGGACACTCGGTGACGACTGAAGGTGAAGTGAAAATTTGAATCGCATCTGGATTCGAACCAGCAGCCACCGGGTTTCTGGCTCGATGCTCTACCAAATGAACTGCGAGGTCCGACTACTGACCAGATTCTTATTTCATTTCCAGCACCAAGGCTTCTCCCCGACTACCATATGAATTCGTGACGCTTGACCGTAGTAGTCCTGACTAGGCAGTCAGAGTGTATACGATCATGCGTCAGTAATGCGATACGAATTCACATGATGGTCGAGCAAAACCCTTGATGATTGGAGTGAAATAAAAATCTGATCAGCAGTTGGACGTCGTAGCTCATTTGGTAGAGCACCGGGCCGGAAACGCTGTGGTCGCTGGTTCGAATCCGGGTGTGGTTCAGATTGTCATCTCAACTTCAGTCATCACCCGGTATAAGAGCCTTTAGCTAACGCAAAGTTGTTGGTTTCCCTAAACTACTATAAATTCTCTAGTCTTCTTTGTGCTTCCTCTGCTCATGATCACTACATTTTCAAAATCGAATTTATGTCCATGTTGTCCATAAGCATTCGTAGGGAGGATAAGATGTGACGTTTGATTGCCAGCTAATCTTTATATAGACGACGGTGAAGCAGATGGTCGCCTGTTCCAATTTAGTGTTTATTGCGGTTGTCGTGTTTGGTTTTTTAAATAATCTGTGGTTTATCTTTTTTGACTGTTGCGTCTTTTGGTTTTAACAACATAGCTTGGAGGGAATCTGTTGGTTTATGAGCCATATCAGTTCAAAATGATCCCACTTGTCTTGTGGTGATCTCTGACATATTTTTATGTAAAGTCGAAATGCACTCAGCAACCTTTTGTATCTTTGTGTAGTCGGTAATGAGCTACGCCTATTGTGTTAAGACTGCCAAAACTCCAGTAGATGGAGCAGTTTTCTAACCCGCGACGCATTGGTTGGAAGTCAACTTACTAGGTCAGTGAACTATAACTCTACTGTGTGTATGGTAGGGTGATCTGTTTGGTGATTTCTGTCGACAGCTTTTTATTGAATTATGAACTGAATAGGCATCTTCTGATGAAGTTGCGTTAGTGAGTTCTTCTTTAAGACAGTCATCAAGTAATTCTCTTCATTCTCCCATGATGTGTGTGCAATGAAGTGTTTTTGCTCTTTTGAATAAAGTTTGAGCATATTCATTTCGTTATCTAACATATCATCAAAACATTCACAACATTACAATTAAAATGACCCAATAAGTCAAATAAGTGAATTAGCCTCAACGTTCATCATAGCCTGAATCCACTTCCTGAATTTCCTACATTCAACCTTTACAGTATTCCTAAAGAGAGCCGCAAATATTTCCTGGATTTTCCTGACTGCCTAGGGGTTTAAATTACAACCAGTGTATTTGATGTCCTTCTTGATCGCGTCCTGAAACATAATCCTTAAAAAATAAGTCAAAAGTGCTAGGGTACTAAACGTCACAGCTGGTCAGGTCATAACTGTTATTAAAATAACATTTCCCAATGTCTATCGAAGTTTAACTGGATACTGGATCTTGATACCACAGACGGGGTCATTCAGAAACCACGCTTTCTAATCAAAAATCTGTCATAATCTTCATAGTCTCCTTGTTGTCATGCCAGTTGACTTTGAGACCCCATTTAAAGATTTAAGGTAGACAAACATCATTCTCACTGGAGACATCCAGAACGAAAACGAGACAAAATCCACTCATCAACCTTGTGCATATTCGTGCGATAAGCAGTGAGCCACACCTATTGTAGGACGAATAAGTGATATTACCTGGCTGACCGAACCTCGGTAGGGTGGAGTGATGTCCAAACCCGTGATTCACTAGTAGCCAGCGTATGTGGGAACTTTATCTTCAGACACGGGGAGCCACCTTCGAATTGTGGCCGAGTCACCCATTATTGAGTGTTATGTGGTTTGTCCTGATGAAAACTCTTCGAACAGAGAACCATTAGGGTCTTTGCACTCTCAACAGTATGCTTTATTTCGTTCATCACTCTCTTCAGCAGATTGATTTTTCAAATATTTCATGTCAGATGTTGACCTTCGCGTCTCTTGTATAAGTGGTAAGTGGTAGCGTAGATCCACATCTAATGCTTGCTTGATAATGGAAGCTGAAACGCTCATTTTCCTCATTGGAGCGCGTATTCCTTTGTTAGGGTCTCCTATCAGTCTCCTATGGCAGTTGTTGAATGAATTCTGACATATATTAGCATTCAGAATGTCTATTGTGTTTTTTCTTAAGAAACACAGCCACTTGGTGCACAATGAAGTCTTATGTCTCATTTCGTATCAGTATCACTGTGTTAAATGGTGTCGATCAGCCGTCTAAATAGCGGAATCTTTATGTCTGGGACAAATCATCATGATGCACATTGTATTTTTCTAATATTCTGATAGTTTACACTGTTCTTAGGTAACTTTTAGTATTTTTTGCTCCGTAATGTAGTGTGATTTCATGAAATGACCTTAGGTACGTCGAACTTCACAAGAGTTGGTCTACTCCCTAGAGAGCACCTTTTTGACTTAAAGTATGCAGACGACGTTGTTCTGCTAGGTGAAGACGCTGACAAAATGCAAGGTGTTCTGAATGTGTTGGGCAGAAATCTGAGTATACCTACTATGTGTCGCGCCTGTTAAATGCAAAATGCTTCAGGACTAGTCTGCGAGCACTTCTGGTTTAATGATGGGGAGTAAAGTGGTGGAATGTGTCGACTACTTCACTCGCTTGGTGAGTTGCATCAGCCCGAATGGGTTGGTTGGTTGGTTACGAAATCTCAGCTTTGATACAGAGGTCCTGTTTAGCATTTGACAACTTGCATGATCTTTGGCGCTGACTGGCGAAATAGATATCTGACTGTCTATCTAAGGATCAGTATACTGCGTTGCAGTTCGTTTTGTCCTGTTATACCTACACGTCTATGTAACTGTGAACGCAAGTGCTAAAATAACTGTTCCTACCACTACATGAATCACAGTAACTGTATACATTTTGATCTCAGTGGATCACAGTGAATGATACACATCAACTTAATTCAACGTTAACCTTTTTGTTTTGTTAACTGTATGGTCCCTTTATTGTAAATGCTATTTTCCTGGGTCTAATTTACAGTGTATGTCTCCCAAGTTTTTTTAAATACATGCAATTTTTTCTCACCTCTTAAAAGGGTTTACCAGTTAGTCGCCAATCAAAACTAGCTGCTTTGTTAGTTGGTAGTTTGGGTGCAATGTTGGATGTATCTGCTTCAGCAAGAAAAAATGCCTGTAAAACGCTTACAGCTATGATATTGCAATGTCCTGCTGCAAAGGTAAGAAAATGTATCTTTGTGACTCATTTCGGCAGATGGCTATCATTTTTATCGTTTTAAATTGTCACATTTCTCAAGGAATTCCGTATGCCTAGGCACTACAACCCCACACTAGTAATACTAGTCTATTATCTGAAGATATAAAGAAATTATATCAAAAGAGTTTATGGTGTATCCTATGAGCTAATGATAAACCTCTCAGCAAGAAATGAGTCCTATATATATATATATATATATATATATATATATATATATATATATATATATATATATATACGCCCATCGTTCTCCCCTCGATGGTACGATGTTTGCATTTTTATTACATTGACGTTTTAGGAACTGGGTCAACTTACCATGTAGAACACTAGACTTGATAAAGCAAATGCTTCGTTAGAGTACATTTCATATTTCTTTTATATTTTCCCTAGTTGACATCGGATGAATTACAACAAGTTGTGAATAAAGAGAAAAAGCGACTTGAGTGTTTAGAAAAATTGCTGGGTAAGCAACTTCTTAAATGGTTTTTGTTTGCTTTCTTGTCTGTTTGGTAAGTGATATGACTTACTCGATGGGATGAAAAGGTAGACGCTAAAGTTACTGATGTGCACTATGTTACTCCTACTAAATAACGGAGAAATAAACAATTGCCAGTATTTCATTGCTATTCGGAGTTTCAGGTAAAAGAGACAGATCAGTTGATGAGTTTCTCTTTCCTTATCGATGTAGGTGCACGAAACACATGTTGCACATGCTAACACAACGTTATGTGAAGTAGGATAGGTAAAGTTATGGTTGACTAAACTATGGCGTAACACCAACCTATAAAGTCCCTGACTGTTTGTCCTAGCCATATGCGAAACTGTAGACCTTATTATTGGTCGTTATCTTCGAAACAATTGAACCTGATAGGTGACGACTGTAAGTAGTATGACTCAAAATCAAAGACAGTATCACAGAGGTACTCATGTCTTATCCTTATATATATTCTAATACCACATCCTGTCACTCCCTCTATCTCCTCTTCTCTCTGTCTTGTAACATTTTAAGACGATAAATCTCTCTCTACCTCTTTTATTATTATGATTATTTTGCTTCATTCTTCTAACTTCCCCTTGATAGACTTCCACCTTGTTGCCATAATATGAAGTGTGACAACCTGTACCATTGAGCAGCAATGGTAGTTCCTGTGTTGCTAATATCTACTTCGAGTTATGTAGTAAATCACAAGTCCGAAATGTCCGAACCATTTAAGTCTAATCAACAGTGTTTTGCTTGCTGATGTAATGATGAATTTTCGAGGTATAGTTTTGCACACCATTCACAGTCTATGTAGACACTTTCGACTAGTTTTTAGATCAAGTGTGATATGCTTCGACACTGAAGTGTCATGCACTCAAAGAATGTACTACTGAATAACTGGTTCTCACAGGTCAACTATGCTTTTCCGTACTTGAACATGGAAGGTCAGAAGTATAAGTAGCAAATAACAATTTTATCAAACAGCTAAGCACACTTAGGTACTAATTTTCACGCTCAGTAAAGTTTTATTGTATGGCGAGAACGAATAGGTTCCGAAAACTTCATTGATCTTATGCTTCCGTTTCTTATGAGATCTTATTCCTCATGACTTTATAGCTTTAACAGGTACAGTCATATTCTTCACTTTGTACGGTTTTACTTCTCCATAAAAGGTTCTTTGGATTGAGCCCATATCTAGTTGCTGTACTGTACATATTGTGAAGCTATTACTCATCGGTTTGAATATGCGATTTTCAACCAATAGGTTACATGTTCCCACCTACCGAGGCTTGTGTGCCCAGAAGTATCGTTAACCCGTATATAATAGAAGTATACAGCTGCTAGTCACATCACATATGTAACTAGCAGCTAAAGTTGCGTAATTTAACACTATTGTAAGGCGTTTTGAGTTTAATATATTCTCCTCATATATACCATAATATTTTTGAATTATTGAGTAATTATTATGCCGTAGAAACATCTGTCTGTTATTCATCTTGTTGCCATTGCTAGTATTTATTCCTATTCGATATTATCTCTTTTAGTCAGTTGATTGATTTACGGATGTTTCTCATCATACTTTCTCACTCCAGTTCATCACAAATCTGTTAATAAGCGTAAAGGTAATCTCACGGTGATAGCTTGATAATCTTAGTTGTCTGTGATATGTCAGTACATATTATCATTGAAATTGCATTTCACTCATAATTCATTCATGTATCTTGGAGTTTTTGAAATAATTCTAGTCACGTACATATAATCATCATCATCATCATCATCATCATCATGTTATTATATCTCGTTAATATTAAAATCCCCCAGCATGTTGATCATTTTGCATAACTACATTAGTGAGTGATTAAATCTTGTTCACTTGTTCACTTAAATTTCGTGTATATGTTGTTTTGCTACGCTTCTCACCTCCTTCAATAACGCATACATGTATACCTGATCATAACTATCCCGATACGATGGAATATGACTGAAATATTTTTTTTCTCATTCAATTTGTCTCATTTCAGCTAAAGTAGCCACACTAGATGAAAATGGAGTTGCTTCCGCTTATCCTACAGATGACGGAATCCACGCCGATGCATCTAAAAAGAAAAAAAAATCAAAAAGAAGAAAATATAAAAATAGAAATTCAAATGAATCCGATGAATTCACAGGCAAGAGAAGTAGGTCTTCAAGTCGTCGATCAAATATAGATGAAGATAATTCCGATCCGGAAACTGAGGAAGAGGAGAATGAAACTGATAATAATGATAGTGAGAATGATGACGAAGAAGCTAATGATGTAGATATTACACTGTATCCTACAGCTGAATCAGATGCTGCTGCAGCTTTAGAAGAGGCTATTCACTCAGCAGCTGCCGTTGCGGCTGGCAATGTAAACCTGACTGAAGACGGTGGAGGTGATAATCCATTTGGACCTTCTCCATTGCGTTCAGCAACTGTTGCTGAGACACAGTTAAAATCTGAAGTTGTTCGTCAACGTGCATGTGTTGCTTATTTGTTAGAGACATCTGCTTTATATCATATATTCAATTGGCTATTAAAGATTTCCAGTCGATGCTATCCTCTAAAACAATGTCAGATGTAACAGAGGCTATTGAATTTTTCGTAGTCGCTAAGCAAGCAGGTATAAAAGGTCTGGATGATGGCATTCGTTTGTTATTATCATTGGTATGGTCTCAAGAAGAATCTATCCGAAAAGCTGTTGTGGAAGCTTGCCAGTGAGTTTCTGCACTTATAATTTTGTACGGACAGCTTTCATTGTGTTTTTTGTGTGACTAAATCAAATGCGTCCAATTGTGTGTGTAACGGATACTTCATATCAGTGAAAGGGAATTATGATAGCTAAACAATACGAAAGGTGCTAAGTTAATAGATGGTACTCAGTCTAGATAACTACGTGTTTTACCTGACACAATGCTTTTCCAGTTACTGATTTAAAACGCAACAAACAAATGCAGGCTCCTGCACTGGGTGATAAGCCATATCTATTGCGTGGATGCTAATAAGATTGTCTATTTGCCCAGATCTCTTTAGGTAGAGCAGAGGTTAAAACCTGTCGTCTGTTGGTTAAAAGTCAAGTGCCTAAACTAATTAGCTACAACTTAACCTGGTACAGTAGAATATTGTTTCGAGTAACTCCACTCCAAAGACGCCAGCATTACTCTTACAGGAATTTCACCAAACTCGACCATTACTTTGAAGATATGAATGATCAGATGCAAATAATCTCTTTAAATCTCCTTCAATTAGACCATGTAGACTTACCCAGGGATGGTTTTATTTAATCCCTAAAACTAATAATCCTAGTAGGATTTATGGCACTATTAAGGTTCATAAACCAGGTTATCCCATTAGACCCATAGTTGACTTCAGAAATACCCCAACTTATGGACTAGCAAAGTACTTAGCATCGACATTGTGTCCTATTAGGAACCAATCAAATTCCAGACTAGTAAACTCTTACCGGTTAAAACTAAGGCTTAATGACCTACACATAGAAGAGAATGAAAAAATGGTTAGTTTCGACGTAACAAGTCTTTATACTAAAGTACCAATCAATATGGCATTGGAGGCGGTCAGAAGTCAACTAAATACTAACTCAGATATTGGCTGATGAGATCATATTAAGCGCACAGTTGTGCCTGATCTCCTCAGTCTTCAAGTTTCAGAGCAAAATATACAAACAAACAGAAGGAGTAGCAATGGGATCGCCAATATCCCCATTCGTAGCAGATATATTTATGAATAGTTGGGAAAACATGGCTTTACAAACGTTCAATCCTGCACCTATGATATTGTGGCGAAATTTGAATGACAGACACATTTACTTTGTTGAGATCGGAACATATCAACAATTTCCTCACACTTATAAACTAAGTAGTAGGCGCAATCCAATTCACTTACGAGATAGAAAATGAATAAGGAGATTTACCTATGTTGGATTGCAGAGTAAAACGAAGGATCGACGGTGGTTTGGATACTACCGTCTACAGAAAACCGATACATTCTAACAGGTATCTAGACTTCAAATTATATCATCCAATGTCAGTCAGATGTGTAAGTGATAGAACTATAAAACTGACTAGTCTGTGAAGGACCTAAACAAGGAATTGAAACACGTAAAAGAAGCTCTCATAGTTAACAATTATCCTTTGCAGTTTATTAAGAAATTCTTACGAACACAAGAAACAAAAAGATAACAGTAACACGAATACGAATAATAATGACAACACAAGTAGAAAGGAGTTCACAAGCTCTTTAAATCTCTGCTATCAACTTTTATATCTGTGAACAGGGAAGTAAAACAGAATGAACTGTTTTGTTTGTAGGGGAATTCAGAACTTACTTGAATGATTTTATATCCAATATGTATACAAATACAATTATCACTATTTAGCTCCCGTTTTGGACGTTTCTTTAGTGTGAAATTGTGATTTATTAGATTAGATAACTAAATTTTACCCAGTTTCCCATCTAACCAGGTTTGACTAGGCAGATAGTATTGAAAGTCTTCACAGAATAGATTTGATCCATAGCCTTGTGCAGAAACCTGCAGTTGATTGCTGAGTTATGTTAGATTCTACTTTAACAACGCCTAACTTGCAGACACGTCATTTGTGAATACAGGGTGATGATTAAGAGTGAAACGAAAACCTGGATCGCTGCAAGATCCGAACCAGCAGTTTTCAGAATACCGATTCAGCGCCCTTTATCAGCTGAGCCAAGAGACTCAGTTGCTGACCAGGTCTTAACCCAACTTCACTCATCGAGGGTTTTGCTCGACTGTAGTTTGATGATTACTTGATGTTTAAGTGTCCATTCATCTATCCAGCCATAACTTCTTATCCCAATCTAACTTCAGCTGAATTACAGAGAGGAAGTGTCGTAGTAAGTAGTTGTTGGGTGTATCCGAGAAAGCCGTAGTTTGGCAAACTAGTTATATACTGTCCGCTTTAAGAGAAAAAAGATGAAAAGTTCATTGTTTAGTTAAAATTTGCTGCTAGTAGGAGTTATTCAATAATAAACCTTTCTTTTATTGTTTGTTCCTTAGAAAATTATATCTACAACCAGAAGCCGAAGAATACTATAAACCTAATGGTAGACTAACTGTTGGAGGTGCAGATCTGGTTGCTACAAATTTAAGCAATTTTATTCGTGGCTCAGAAATGGGTGATTTAGTTAGCATAGAACGTATTATTCAACAGTTGATTGCATCGAATCAATTCGATCCTACACTAATTGATCATTTATGGGAAAGATTTATTCAATCAGCTAGTCAGTCGGATAAAGAGAGTTCAGAGGATGCAAAGTCAATGTTAATCATTATTAGAATGATTGTACAGTAAGATTTTTCTTTAAACACAACGGTTTTTTTTATAAATGCTACTCTTCCTGAACATTTGTCGGTTTGTTTTGAAAAAGATCAAGTCGAAGCCATAAAAATTCCTACCTTAGCACACTTGATACAGACAATACCACATAGATGTTAATACAGCTTTTACTGTCATACACCGCGCTCCAAAAACATTACAGTGTGAAGTTTGCCAATATAGTTAAATCCGTGGTAATCAGACTAATCAAATGTGAACTGTGCATTCAGAAGAAAGGCGTTCAGACAGTAATATTTCCTTAGCCTATTACACACTGAAGACTATTCCTCACATCATTGGTTGTCTCACTATCAAATTCTTTATACGTATATTAGTTATCTTAACATTGGAAAGTAATTCAAGAAATCGGTTGGCTTACAATCTTTAATTCTTCTTGAACTTGAACTGTATTTCACTGACAGTGGATAATGGCTAGCACTGGAATTCAGGATATGAGTTTCTGTCTATTTGTGAATCATCACCTGTGTTTACTTGCCTCTCAATGTTGTGTCAGTGTTTAAATGTGAATAGATAACCGAGCAAGTATACAATGCTTACCTAAGCTGTCCGCTCGAACTCGCGCAACCCTGTAAGAGCTTATATTGAGTTGTCATCAGAATTAACGGCAAGTAGTGGTGTCCGCCAAAGATGCCAACTGTCAATGTTCCTATTTAACTTCGTTATAGACTTACTAGTGGACATAACCTTAAGTACGTCTGACTTCACAGGGATTGGTCTACTCCCTGGAAGTCATCTGTTTGACGATATTGTCCTGCTAAGTGAAGACGCTGATAAAATGCAAGGTCTTCTGAACACGTTGAGCAGAAATATGGGTATGTTTGGCCTGTTTCCCACCCGTCAACTTTAAGATGCGGCTCGAGAATATGTGGTTGCTGACGAAGTCTCAGCTTGGGTACAGAAGGCGGTTTCGACATTTGACAACTTGTGTCATCTGTGGCGCCGACTGGAGAGATATCCAACTATCTATCACAGGACAAGTATACTTCGCTGCAGTCGATTCTGTCGTTTTGTACGGCAGTGAGACACGGTCATTAAAAGTAAAAGACATCAAGAGATTACAGGGCTTTGATCACAGACGTCTTCGTAGCATTGGTCCCGTTTGGTGTTAAGCTCAGGCGATGGGAAATAGTCAAGTCGATTGGTGAGATTGTGAAGCTTCATCGGCTGAGTTGGCTGAGTTGCCCATGCCGAGTCGTCGCCTACCTCGACGCACTGTGCTAGGGGACGTTGGGTTAGGTTGGAATAGGGTTCAGGATGACCATACCGAGACGTGGTACCATTCGATGAGGTCTATGACTGTTGGTCTGATTCGTGTGGGTAGATGTAGACTGTCTGGCTGGGGTCCCGAGACGTGAAAAATCAATGTTTGCAGACTGTCGGTGGAATGGATAAAAATCGGTCACAATGGCACAGATATATTCACTCCTTGACATCTTCTAAAGCTTGAATATTTGCACTAACCGTTATCTTCAAATTGTATATTCTTTCGCATAACTTTGATATCAGTCTTTTCCTGTCCAACCGTTCTTTGTGTACTACTGTAGCAGCATCAGCAGCAAATTTAGCTGATACGCTCGTTTGCGAGGTTTTTCGTTGTCAGTCAGAAGGCAACACGAAACACCACAAAGATACAGTATAACAAGACAACCATACAAGAATCCATCCAGTCAAAGGACTTATGTGTAATGTCTGTCTGAGCTTAGAAACTATCGATATTTAGGGAGAAAGAGAAGCATTATTTTTTTTAAACGTAAACACTTGGTTCTTTTTATGTACTGGAAGTAGTTTCTTTATATAAGCGCTAAGATACAAGTAGTTGTCCCAAAATGCCGTAGCAGTTAAACCTTGTAGTAGAAATTTAAATATGTCGGACATATGAATAACGCTAGAAATCTCACCGTCATGGTAGCCACCAAAAGAAACATTTTAATACTCCAATCTATCTGCCAGAAACTAAAGATTATGATTTTATTGATCCTCAAAGCCATAGTTCATGCCCAGTCTTAATGCTGGACACTGTCTTTCTCTCTTTGGTTTAATGGGAAACGGTCATCTCTTTGTGAAAACAGTGACTAAAATATCCCGTTGATTGTTATGCAGCTTATTATTGTATGCAATATGCCGAGTGATGGAATGTAATATCCATCCCTTGACTATAGTTCATTCTATGTATTCTCATTTGATTGTTTAATCATATTATCTTAATGTTATGTCTCACTTTGTATATATTCCTTGTTTTGATTTAGATCTGAAGCTAAAGAACTTAATCTTCATGTTGATAATCTTATTCGTTATGGACTTGAAGCGGTCGGTTCCTGTCCCATTGACTTGGAACGTGTTAAATTCACATGTGAAGTTCTTGATCGAATGGTTCCACCCACTAAGGTATTATTATTATTATTTTGCAATATCTCCTATTAGCGTGCTACTTTAAACAGATGATTGTAGCTATAGAAAGCGTGTTTGTATCATTGAAAGATACAACTTTCGTAAAGAAGGAAACATTTACTTTGACGACAGTTGCTTATAGTGATTATAGTGTAGTGGCCTAAAGAATTTAACAAAATTCCTTTTGAAAACATACTTTATAAAGGCAATTTCTCGGAAATAGGATAGTCATCGTTTGGTGATGTTATGCAATACAATGTAGTCGAGAAAAAGATATTATAATCGTAGGTATAGATTTAAGTGGGTGTGTATGTTAAAATTGATTCCAAGTGGGTATGATATTCCCGACTGTTTTTCTGAAACTCAGTACATTCTCATTGATATTCTATTTGGACAAGCCTTTGTTAATTAAACTGACTCAGCTTCTTAAGGGTTTGATGCATAAATGTTCTAGCCTATATACACTAACCGACTTAATTCCTTTCTGTGCAGTTGGATTGATGGTGATACAGTAAAACATGAATAAATAGTCGAAACTCTAGAATTTCCCATATAGCAGTAGATGTTTGTGCATAAAAAGACAAGTGAAAATTTTCACTTTTAGGTTTTATCTTCGCATTAGTGTGTTAAAATATTTTCTATCTTATACTAACCAAAATATTAACATGTGTTATTGTCAGGATTTACGATTTTCGCATCTTTTCTAATTTAACCCCTTAGTGTGGTAAATCTGATGATAAATCTGCCTACCGGGAACCATTTCGATTTCCGACGAATCATATTCTCTTCACTCGACTGAAGACAATTCTTATTTCAACGATATCTCAACCAAATCAAGCCCTCTGGATACCAATGATGGAACGAGTGAGTTTTGTGCAAATTACATTAACCTGACAATAAATTATAATCAGTTAACTTGTTTCACTAAATGCCTTAAATCCATTCATATTCATAGGCTGTTGGTGTCATTTACGAACTGGCTGAAGCACCCGACTCGATAATGTGTCACCTGTTACGTTCGGTTGCAGAAAAATTGGTCCAATTCAAATCTATTCCTCCTCCTAGTCAGATTAATCCAAACGAGAATACAGTAGATAACAATGAACTACCTGATAAGCTATTACAAAATGAAGAACAGGAAAATGTTCCTCCATCTCAAGTAAAATTAGATCCAGATGTCAATTCTTTTATTGTTAATGTACCAGCATTTTTACTTTCTCGATTTTTGTCTCTTATTGGTCATATCACTCTAAAACAACTTGTCTTCATGGAGTCATCTGTATTAAATGAATTAAAACGACGTGCATCAGTTCAGGAGGATCGAAATTCAAAACGAAAAACTAAGTCTCGCAAAAATATCAGAAAGTCAATGGTGAGTTTTGTATATTAACCTCAAGTTTTTATGTGTTTGTATAGTGGAATGTCTCAGTATGCCGTTGAACTACACAGATTCTATGCTTAGAGGCAGGATAGTGGTTACTATTCACGAAAAGTAAATCAAGAAGAGTTTCATGCAAGTGTTACATATAGGACACCTCAGTATCGTGTCTTCTTTGTTATCGTTCATGTCATATTTCTCAATCTATAGGATAAAAAGTCAAAGCTCAAAACCGGAATATCACCCGACTACTTTGCCATTGGTTCACTAGTTACAATCAACTCAGTTTTCAGTGCTATCTTTTTTCATTTCTTAAAAATGTAACGCGATGCTTTGTATATATCAGACTAGTGCCCGCCATCAGCTTCGTGACATCAAAATAAAATCCATGCCAATAAATTGAGATGTCCGTTTAAGTATCTCTTGTACTAACGGAAACCGATCAATTTGATGCTGTAAAATTTACAGTGAGAAATTGTTTATATTAATCAACAAAGAATAACTGTTATCCTTTATACTAGAGGGGTGGGTGTTGGGACTCTGTTGCTTACTGGCGTTTTGAGTCACAGCTGGTAGGTTTGAGTCTCAGTAGGCTTACTATTACTCGCTAAGATGCAGATACATCTAACTGGTGGCTTGAAAATTAGTTTTGGTGTCTATTCTGTATTCCAATGCTAGCCCTCACTACTAACCAAACACTGTTCCGGCCACTATTATTTTTTCAATCAGAAGGTTTGTGGAGATTTATTAATTGATCACTGGGTTCCGACCCAGTGGCTCAATGGTATCGTACTGACTGTGGAACCTGAAGGTCCTGGGTTCGATCGCCAACGGGGCGGGGTCATGGGTGCCCACTGCTGGGGAGTCCCATACTAGTATGAGACAGCTGTTCAGTGCTCCCAGTTCCCCACTGTTCCGCCAACTGATGTCAGTCCATGATGAATTCCAACCTCAAATCAATAAATAAATCCCCCACAAACCTCTAAATCAATTGAAGTAGTAGGACAATCCTGAAAGAGCATTTCAGTGGTATGATAATGGGTAGGTAGTGTTAATTTATGATATTTGCGTTAACAGTAAGAAAAAAAGCTGTACGTATGAATAAAAATAGACTTTTAACGTACAACCGAAAGATTTCGGACTTCACTTTGTGGTATTTTTAGAATCTGTATTGACCTGGGGCAGTCGGTTAGAATATCACAAGTGTTCACGCAATAAATGCGGCTCATAGCTTAATATAATACCTTGTGTCAAGTTGTGTTGCACTGTTTTTGGTATCATGGATTTATATTGATTCTACAATATTTAATCAATGTTTTTTTGAGATTGGTGTATTATGAATGAACACTACTAGAGAGAAGCTTAGTTAGAACCTCTAAATGATTTTTGCTGTTTGCTTGCATATGCAGAACTCATGATATGCACAGAGATGTATATAACTCAGTCCAGTACAGCTCTCATGTAATAGGCTATGCGGTACAGTCAGTGGGAGGGTTGATACACTACTCAATTGTTCAGGTCGAATTAGGTGGAGCAGGACTTGTTTGAATGTCAGGCGCTTACACCAGTGAGCCACCTAACATGTTAACAAGAAGGAAATGGCTTTTACTTGAGAATAAAAACCTAGGATAACTTCCAACTTAAACCTATCCTCATACAGACTATTAGCTGCTTCAATGACTATTGATAAGTTTTGATTTCAATTTTTAAGAATAAGTGTATACTCAGGTCTCTTGTGTTTTTGTTGAAAGGTTTCAGTGGCTTCGATGACTGAGACCACTGTCAATAGTTCAACATCAGCTCAAGCAAATGCTGATGATGAGTCAGGTTTAGTCGGTGTAGCAGCTGATGATGCAGAAGTGGACTACATACGTCAAATATGCGATCATGAACTGCTTAAATCTCCTGATCTTATCCTTCATCCGCTGTTAAATTTTGTCACCTACATCTGTTCACAACCATCCAGATTCGCAGATGAAACTGTACAGGTAAGCTATCTACTACTGCTTTCTTTAAGATATGAAGTACTGATTGGGATTAGAAAAACATTTCTACTTTTATAAATGATTTTTAAATATCATTCATAATGATTCTTCTTGTTCAGGCGTCAGCTAGTCTTGCAATGGCCAAAATGATGCTTGTCAATGCTGAAGTTTGTGAACCTCGTCTTCAGCTGTTATTCACTATGGCTGAACGAAGTAGATCAGAAATAGTGAGAGCTAATCTCATTGTAGCTTTGGGTGATCTGTGTCGTCGATTTCCAAATCTAATAGAACCATGGACACCAAATTTATACGCACGTTTACGTGATTCATCTGCGAAAGTTCGTACCAATGCCCTCAATACCTTGAGCCATCTGATTCTAAATGATATGGTGAAGGTAAGTGATTTCATATAACTGAGTTGTGTTTATTCTCTGATGATAACAGTGTTACATATTCACCTAACTAGTACACATATTTCAAGGATAACGATTGAAAAAGATTCGGAAATAGAACTAAGCCACCATTGTTCTCCACGGAAACGCCCTCATAGTCTACCACTAAAGTAAAATACCTGGTTATCAACCAGACTCAATTCATGTCAGTTATCTAGTATTTTTTTCAACCGTTTTGTAACTTTTAACACTTTACTATGTCAATTACTCAAAACAAGTTTTGTCAACCTAAGCAAAACTAAATTACATTAAATAGGCTGCTTGTTGTGAACCCTACTATTTAGCTAATTGTATGTTCTTTTCAAGATGATGAGTACCAAATGAATTGGCGATAACTTGTAACAAAGATATCCAATTTATCTTTTATTCTTTTAATTGAACCAGTAAAATTTCCTATATCGCTTGCTCGATGAGTAAAGAAAACACGAGGTCATTAAATGTTTCTGACCACAGTTGTCATCTCAATAATAGGCGAGGAAGAGGACAGTTTAGTTGATGAATTTGTGAACCTCTAATAACTGAAGTGGCTGGGAAATGTATTATGTATGCTAAGCCGCCACGGCCTACTTTGACGTTGACCGAAATAGGATTAAGTTGGAATTAAAACTGAAAGTAGTGGTCAGACCAAAGTGTGTGGCACCAATCTGTGAAGTCTTTGACTACTGTTTAGTTTTAGGATGGTTGACGTAAGTTGAGTGCTATAATCAATAGGAGTTAATGGTTATAGATTGCACAAATAAGTACACTCTTCATCATTTTCGACATTTTTAACACTTTCACTATACTTCTTTTTGTTTATCTGAATATCATCTTATTTTACGTTTGATGTTGTAAAATATAACAATTTAAAACGACACATCTCAGCGCAAGTTTTTGAATAATTTTTGATTCATTAATCACATATGCTGCAGTTGTTATTGTCCTTGTTGTTGCCAGGTACAACAAACACTGGCTCTAGAGATGCATTATTTTTTTCCAGTAAATAGGATGCATACTCAACCAGTCTATGTATCAACCATGATTCTGTCTAGAGACTCACCCTCAAGATGAGTATAGCATGTAAATTAATGTGTTACTGCTATGTCATTTATAAAAAGACTTTAAAGTGATTGAACCAGCTAGTTAGTCTATTATATCAATAAGGTTTCCAAAATTTCTTGTTAGATAATTCTGTTTTTTAAGTATACAGGAAAGTTCTTCAATGCTTGAGATCTCGTTTTCTGAGAACATTACTATCTTCCCTGCATTGTTATCTAAGATACAGTTTCCAATGCTTATTTTACCTACAATCTTTATGGTATATCCTATTCTTTACTAAACTAGTGTAATTTGAAGTGTAATACATAAACCCTTAAGCTGTCGTTAATTTGTACAGTCTATTTTCCAATTGATTTCTTATTATTTTATACTTTATGTCTTTCCTTTTAGGTTAAAGGTCAAATTAGTGAAATGACTGTTTGTTTAGTAGATGAAGTTGATCGACTGAATACTTTAGCACGTCGATTTTTCCGTGAATTATCAGAGAAAGGAAATTCTCTTTATAATGTTGTACCAGATATTATCAGTCGGTTAAGTGATCCTAATGTCGGTGTGTCGGAGGATCATTTCCATTCGATTATGGAGTAAGCAATTTAATCATTCTATCACGGTGTATATCTTTTTTTTAAATTATACTTTTCTTATATTGTTGCTTGTATTATCTCATCTTCGATTAGACTGAATTAATGCGTGTCTATTGGCATATAGGCTCCTTTGCGGTTGCCTCAATATTCCCTATCTTTTCAATTTTATGTTAACAATGGATTAGTAATGACGAGTCCCAAATAAAAACAAAATGCGCGTCTTGGACTCCACTGCTAACCACTATCCATCTTTACCATAAAATTGATACTTTTTTTACCGACCGGTGGCGCTGTTTATGAATTCATAGATTATAAGTGTGCTCGGTAGTCATTAACCACTCTGAAGAACTGTTGATGAAATGCAACAAAATCATATTAAGTTACTTGTTATACCTTATGCACATTTTTATTCATAAAATTAGCAGTAGTCTGCTAGATAAGCGTTTGGTCAATAGGTGTTTTGTCATACCCTATTTTAATACTTTAACATCACTTCATTGTTGTGTATACATTATTTATTATTTTATTGAGAAAACTATCTGAAATAAGCGCGATTTGACAGACTGGTATTATTGAGATGGGGTAGTAATTGAGGTTAAAATGGAAATCTGCGGTGCAGCAAGACTCGAACCAATAGCCTCCGGATTACTGACCCAGCCTTCTACCAACTAAGCTAGAAAGCCAGATGTCACCAACTCGAGTCATTTTGTGACTTAGGTGTTCATTTCAACGTCAATTATCCCCTTGGTACTTATTGTTGACTTAAGATTAACTTGGCACGACATATGCACCAAGAAGTGTTTGACACAAAAACAGTTATTCAAGTTTACATTACTGCCTATTTACACTGTGAACCATTTCTGCTATTGTCTCAAGTAACTGAGTTGCATATTCTCCCTTGGTTGGCATTCGTTGCAGACGTAGGTGCCAATATTTTAAGACTACATCATTAAATGAGTGAATATTCCTGTCATATCTAGACACACTTTGCTAAATATGAAAATTACTTTGATGGTGTTTTCACGGATTGTTAGAAGTTCTGTCGAGACAACGGTTGCCGAACACATTCATTGAACTTTCTCAACTTGCATGAGCCAGACTTCACAGGTACAGAATATAACTGTCCCCATCACTATGTTGTACCCCCTAGTTTCTTACAACCAAGTCTACGGTAGGGTGGCGCCAAAGGAGGCGCAAATTAAAGTATACCTCTTTTACTTTCAATATGCGAACGAAAATCTCACTAACTACACCTCCAGCACTTAAAACAACTACCTAAATTAGGCGCACGTTTTGACTGCTTCCAGCAATTCATCATCGCTGGTGAGTGCAATCATTGGCTCTTACCTAATCTCCAAAAGTGTTTTGAATTTCCACACTGCAAAGTATATACTTCAAGATACTGTTCCTCAGCTGAATAAATACAGTTTGAGTGACCTCCTTGTTGCCACATAGTAAGACTAGATTGTTTGCATCAGGAAGGTTGATAAGTATTTCTGCTGGTTGCAGATAGTGACTTTGTTTACGACTGTCCTGAGGATACCATCGATCGCAGAGTCAGTGACGAATGACCACCTTGCCTAAAACCCAACTGCTGGTTCGGAACAACTGAGAGCAATACGTGTTCAGTTTAACTAAGGTCCTCTATAATATTAAAATACTAGTAAACTTCTCAGACATACACTTCCTGACAGAAAATTTGAGAGCATAGTCCTGTCCAACGGCTCAGAGAAAATTGTACTGTTAAGAAACATAATGATTGGTTATCTGTACTACATATGACGGTGTTCGATTACCAGACTGATGGGTATGGATAGTTTACTCATCAGAACAGTGCATATAGGCTTCAGGATTCAAGATAGATGATTAGTGTGCGGACCTACTCTGATTATCTGATATTGCCCTATCACCTTGTGTATTAGACTCCAAGTCAAAACCTTAAGGGGTTGGGTCATTAAGGAAGCAGCTTGCTTCCATCTGGATGCTTGGGCAGTATTACAGCTCTCATGCAAATTACGAAACTACATTTACAATGTGGACTTCAGAGTTCTCGTTGAAGCTATTCTAGCGAGTAACCAAATCCGATTGTATTACATACTTTATTGTCGATCATTCAATTCATAATCATTTCATTGTTATCTTCAAATATAAACCGTATTTTTTCCTCGTTACTATTTACAAATTTGTTTCTATATATATCTTCATTTCACTTATGTCTACGCATCGTTCACCTAAATCCTAGTAGATCTATATTATTTCGAGTTGTAAGTAGTTGTTCTCACGATGTTCTTTTTAAACGCGATATCTAATAGCTGTACTTAAATTTTGTCCATCATTTAAGCTCAATGTCTTCAACATTTGGATGTCGAGTCGAAATGCACTTAGCAGCCGCGTATATATTCTTCCATTGGGTAAAGGCCCATATCTATGGTGTGAATGTTAGGAATACTACGTGACTACCCAGACCTCGGTAGATGGAGTGGCGGTCAGACCCGTGATCCATCAGTTTGAAGTCGAGTAGCTAGACTAATGAGCCACAGCTTCAACAATATCTTAGTAAAGTACTTCAAATACTCCCACTCGTTAGCTTAGAAAGTTTGTTTCGTTAACAGTTATGTGGAGAACTTCTGAGATTTCCATCCAGTGTAGGTGTCCCACTGAGTGTTTACAGCTAAAGCTGTAGTGGTAAAGTGGATGCCCGTTAACATGATTATGTATCCTATTCAGTTAGAAAGTTTAAAGTAAGAAATAAACGATAAGAGGAAGCATGTTTTACCATCTCTACTTGTGCTTCAAAAGACTACAGCCTGGATGAAGCTTCGGATTAGTTCTACCATCAACTGAATAACCTCAACTAGGTGCTATCTGGAGATATTGTAGTGTTGACTGGTGAATTAAATCTACAGGTAGTTAAGTCCAGAGGACAGTTGTTTGGGTGCTCAAATGTGACTAGTCAGTCACACGTGTGTGCAGATAACAAACCTTTTCAAGGCAGTACTAACTTTTAACACAGTCCTCACCGTTAGGTTACCCACTTTTCTTCCCCTAACCGTCAAGTTTGGACTCACAGTACAATTAGCTGCCTGTGGTGTAGGCGTATATTCAGGATTCCTGTTCCTTCTGGAGCATCTGCTTTGAATCTGACCACGTTTTTTTATCTGCTGAGTTCATTTTGTGTTTCGATGATAATCAAAATCATCATCTTAAAACAGGTTGATACAACCAAATATGTTATAATCAGTTTTACAACTACATATCAAGACTGGTTGCCGAACTTTAAAACGGTGCAGATCTACCTGAAATGCCAGTTTTGATTAGTGAAACTTGTTCCATTTGGCGAAACTGCGGTATATGGTTTGAAGTACGATTCCACCAGACCAAGGATGCTATTCCATAAACTCGAATTGTCCCCTTGAGTTTTGGAGCTAGAAGAACTCAGAGATAAGGTAGAGCTGATAAAAGGAGATTTTAAGAAGACCTAGAATGTAACAAACTATTAGGTTGTCTGAAAGGGACCTGGAAGCTGACAGGTATATGAAAATATTTTACACTTTCAGGGTGTCAACGTTGTTGAAAGCTGCTTGTTTAGATACTAGAACAGGGTAGTGGATTAGTAAGAATGTTCTCATCGGTCTGCGTGCGTAGTTGCACAGCTCAAGCGAGTCTTGTTTACGACCAGTTATACAGCCTTTTTGAAGATTCCCGATCTAAACTTCACCCTTTTAACAGTATGTATAAAAAAACATTATGATCAGTTCGGGTAATAGATTAGTGTCTCATTTTTCAGAAATTTTTAATGAATCAATGCCTTAACAGGAGATTTAGTCACACTAATTACTTGATATGCTGTACCTAACTTTACAGCTAAGTTGATTTTGGCTAGCACTGGAATTTAGGAGGCGCGTTTCGTCCTATTTAAGACTCGTCAACTGGCTGCACCCCAGTGATTAGTCTCGTTCCTGCTAATACTCAAACCTCGTAATCATCGGTTCAACCCCCATAGCGTTCTCCAGTGAGCCACAATTGCCATCACTTGTACAACGAGTCTTATTTATTATTTTTTGATACGTATTATTCTTCTTTGTTATACTGGATCAAACTGATCCATCTTCCGTCAGCATATGGACTCCTATACATGTGCCTCGATATTGCCTAAATATTGATCGTTATATGCTGTATCAAACTTTTTGTTGGCAATAATTATTTGGTTGATTATAAAAAGTTGCAACCCCAGTGGTTTTCAGTGGAGTGACTTTTGATATCGTTAAAACTTGGTTGAATTGTTGTAATTTTGAATGTACAATAAGTCGTAGTTATATTTTGTAATGTTATATGCAAGTTGAGTACCGTGTCTTGCACAAACAGATAACATTTTTTACACCATAAACACATTTAGGTTTCTCATTGCTTTAATTGTGAAAGAGCGTTTATGTGAAACATTAGTGGAGAAATTATGTGCAAGGTTTCGTACAACTAGGTAAGTCATTATCACATGTATCATATCGGTTTTCGCATCATATTGACTTTCATCATCACCTTGGTTTTTGATTCGCTAATTTTCCTGCTTATTATTTCCTCAGAAAACTAGGCTAGTTTAATAAAAGAACATTTCTGAATGTATTGCATGCTGAAGCATAACCCTTTATTTCTTGGGACGACCAATCATCCATAGCACCTTTTTGTCTTCAGTAGTCTAGAATTTAAGGGATGAATTCTGAGATTTAAAATTTAGTTAAGGTAGTTGATGGTTTTCTAAACATTTTTCGATTTGATATATTCTCTCATTCATTATGTAGTAAATGCTTAAAAGAACCATCATAGCTCATCCATCAGGAAGTTTCATACAGCGCAGACTGACAGTTCTGGAATTACCTTTTGATCTGACCATCTTAAAACTCTTATCAATCTACTCTAAGTATCATAAATTTCAGAAGGCCAATACTTAGGATTTCTAAGACGTGTACTAGTTGCATGTTTATGTTGTTTATGCAGTTTATGTTTTCATAGCTCCCCAATAACTTGAGAACTTGATACCGTCGATGATTTGAACCCTGCCCTACCTACTTAGATATACGTAATCGGATATTACCATAAGCCCTCACACAAATTAGGCCTATGAATTACTATGTAAACCTGTAGAGTATTAATCTGCATAATTCTTTATTGCTGTACTTAGATTGCTGCTAGATTGATAACTTGAATTAATTTTTGCGGGTGGAGCTATGAATCTTTAACTTGTCGTTTAGTATACCTGTTGATGGATTTCCTGGAAACAAGGTAATAACATTACTGCATTATAAGTATTCTCTAGAGTGATAATACGTATTCACTTGTTTTCAGTCTGGAACGACAATGGAGAGATTTGGCTTTTTGTTTGAATGCAATGCCGTTTACCGAACGAATGATGAAAGTATTACATGAAAATCTACCAGCTTTTGCAGATAAATTATGCATTACAGAAGTGTATTCTGCGTTCCAGTCTATAATATGTACTATGAAGAAATCGACAAAACCCGATGGCATGGCTAGACTGGAAGAATTTGAAACTAAAGTGAAAGAGGTGAGTTAAACATTGTAAATTTTAACAGTTTAGTTGATTATTTAATACATTATGTCTTGGTCAAAGTTTATATCAAAGTAAATCCTTGATTTTCTAACCTTGTACCTCCGTTTTTCCTTTCCTTATCAAGTTCCATGAGAAGGGTGTTGCTGATGAGGCTGCAGTTCGACGAGCAGAAGTTGCTGCCAAAGTACTTCAAAAAAATGCACGTCGTAATCGTTTATCTCCTAAGTCAGGAACAACTGGAAATAGTGAACGTACACGTAGAAATTTACGACGTACTACGATCGGCCGACCAGTTAATGAGCATAGTGACGATGATTATGAAGATGACTTCGAGAGAACTTCGAAACCGACCAGTACTCGTGAAAGAAATACTCGCATCACTCGTACCCGAGCTCGTGCTAAATTAGTTTTCAGTTCAGATGAAGAAGCGTCTAATAGCGAATAAGGGAATTGTAGAATTATTTCACCATCATTGTTATTATTATTATTATTATTATTATTATTATTATTATTATTATTATTATTATTATTATTATTATTAACACTCATACTGAAAGAAACTGTCGTGTATTATAGTTCTGTTAAGGATTTAGTTAGCGTTGTTTTTTTTTGTTTTCCACCATAATTAAGATGTGTTTGTACTTTAATATTACAAGGACTTACCTCCCCTTTGTATATTTGCTTTGTGTGCATGTATGGGAAATTTAAATGTGACAAAATCTTTGTTAACTAAACTGTAAGCTGTCTTCTGAATTTTCATCACTTCCGTCTACATAATTTGTGGCATATTAACATTCTAAAATACCAAGAATCTATATCTTTGTACGAACTTTTATACCAGACAGTCACATATATCTTATGGAAAATAATATTAGTCTCTAACTGCTCATAGGTCAATAGGTTATGTGCTGTTTTAATCTGTGATGACCACCAAAGAAGACTAAATAAGCATCGCTGAAGTCAATTACCAACCAGTTCTAAGATGCACTCAAAAGCAGCATCTGCACCACAAATCAGTGTGCAGTGTTTTTTAAAAAGCACTTTTAACGAGTAAAACTTTGGCGTTCTGATATACCATAATTCCACTTTACGATAGTTAATTTAACACAACACACAACGATACATTTCATCACTTACTGGATAATATTGCGAGCACAATTTATTGTTCATAATCACATCAAAGAAATCAAATAAATCCCATTTTTATAACCCAGCAGCTCCTTTTTCATTTTTATTGAAAGGAGAATTTCTTAAATATCTACAATGAGTGAGCTAGGCAATGATTTAATGAACAATAATTCAGTGTTTAGTCTCTCCTCCCAACTAGCATTATTCGGTCTTCGAACTCTCACCCTGTGGTATGCTTATAAATCAGTGTTTACTTCGCGATAACTAAATTTTCCTTTAATATAAGGGTAAAACTTGGACACTGGTCGATTGTAATTCCATTTTAGCCTATTTATTAGAAATACTACACAGTGAAACAGTAGCACTTACTGGATAACGTTTTGGACACAATTTATTGTCCATGTACATATCAGGTAAGTTCTCAATTTTGAGACAGACTTTATATATTCCTAATTTTCTCTCCTCTGTGATGACAAGGATAGTAGAATTTTCTATATACTTGGGACAGGTGCAGAATCACTTCGATTGCATATGTTTGGTGTTGATTCGACAGACAAAGATTCGGAGGGAGAAATTGATAACCGAATCTTTGTCGAATCAACACCAAACATATGCAATCGAAGTGATTCTGCACCTGTCCCAAGTATATAGAAAATTCTACTATCCTTGTCATCACAGAGAAGGAGAGAAAATTAGGAATATATAAAGTCTGTCTCAAAATTGAGAACTTACCTGATATGAATATGGACAATAAATTGTGTCCAAAACGTTATCCAGTAAATGCTACTGTTTCACTGTGTGATATTTCTAATAAACAGACTAAAATGGAATTAAATTTTCCTTTCGATCACTTTCTTGACTGAGGTCTCATTCTACGTTTCTCTAAATTTTCTGTGCTCTGAAATCTTGAATGACTTTCATTCCCTGGTTTCTTTTGTATGCCTTACTTCACAATTACTACATGTTATTAGATAGACTAGGTTATTTCGCTTAACTGAGTCGTCACGATATTTTAGTTTTCTGAGTAAGTTTTGAAGTTTGAAAGCTAACCTGATTCCATCATTGCTGCATAGGATTTTCTTTGTACCTGCTTTATGTAGAAACACCACAGTGGCTTTGAATTTTCTCTCAGTCATGTCGCAATGATGTTTATTGTTACTAAATTCCTCTGTCTAATGAGCCTTTATGAACTTTTTAATAAACTCCGGAGTTGATTATCGAAAATTGCGCGATTATTTTGTTCTGATCATGAGTGATAGATTGTACTTGCAATGTTATCCAGTAATTAATACTGCATCACTGCGAGCTATGTCAAATAAAATAATTTGATATACAACTCAGTATCTACATTGAACGGAAAATATAAACGGACTCAGCATTGCAGCGTAACCGTCCGGGTCTACACATTTCATCACCACGACAAGCCTCAATGCATCAAAACGACATAAAGAAATAAACAATAAGGCAGTCAAAAGTAATAATAGATGGTCATCAAGAGAGACCATAGGAGGATGGGAGAATACTCCAGTTCACTTTGACGATCGAAATGGAGATAATGCTTACATGCATTCACACCGCCGAGATTGATTCTGATCCATATCACCTGAATTCTCCAACCACTGGTTTTACTGCCATGCGAACCCCAACTGCGAAGTCAACCTTCCCTAACACGGCTGAGACCAACGGTCAAACACTTCGGTGGTTGATGCCTGTTTTGGTCTGGTCAAACTATATCTACACCAGCTAACAATGTGAGACGAAACTGACAGTGACTAGGCCAAACGTCCCCGCCGTGTGAGGCAGTGAAGGTTCCTTGCCATATCGTTAACTGACTGACTGACTTACCTCTCCTTCCCCAAACTCTACACCTGACCTCTCCGCTAATCACCTTGTGGTTCCACGGCATATGATCAGTGGCACGAGGGCAGTGGTGGTCGGACACCTGCATGTAGACTTCTCATTTCCTCCATCACAGGTGTACAGTTAAAGAGAGATAACTGCAGTGCAGTACACTCAGCCTTAATAGACAATGATCATATGTGTCACACAGTGGAAGAGTAGTATATGGATATCAAGGGATGGTTATGTAATGTATATTCCTCTCGGAACGTCATCAGTATATAATACTGACCGTCTCACTGTTTGGTGCGCACAAGAAACAACTGTAAGGGGATTATACTCCACCAAATTGCCTGAATTCTACCCCTTTGTTGATTGGATATCAGAGTGGCTCCGTGATTAACATTAGTTTATCGAAGTCGATTAATGCCTTTGTATCCGTGCAAAGATTTTGTGCTTTACTGAGAAACGCAATAGGACTGATCGGACTTCGCAAGTGAGTGAAGTGGTCAATGCGCTGAAGCATTTCACTGCCTGTTGTTCGACAAATAACCCAGGTAGACAAGTGTTGGGATCGAAATTCATAATTGGCGGGTGACTACCACAATTCAAACACTCAATGTGTCCAGGAGACTGCTTCTTTACAGCCTTCTAAACTTACGTAAGTGCATCATCTACGTAGTGTAGGTCTACTAAGAATTCTTTCTTGTTATGGTTTATTCCAGCAAGTTCAAGCGATGAGACCTTTTTAGGTAACTCTGATAAAATTGAATTAGAAAGACCTAGATGGACATCCTTAACGAAGGCAAATCAGCATAAGTTACTATACGTACGCAAGTGTTTGAGTGCAGAGCTTTCAACAAAGTGGTGTACTTGGCAATCGTCTCAGTGAGTGACACTGCTACATTTGCTGTTATTCGAAGCGCGTCAAATATCGCCAGCTTTGGTAAATGCGCCTCTGTTCCGGAAACTGACGGAGTGTGAATATCCACGACTAGATATAAAGCCTGCCTGGTTTTCTTGTGTTTCCTGTTCCTGAGCTCCATCCAGATATCTGGTTACAACAGAACCTGGGATCTTCGTCAGACTGATCCTCATATTATCACGAGAGAACTTCTCGTCGTTCTGCAAGACTGGAACTACCAGTGACTGAGATCAGCTAGAAGTAGTCGTATCTGACGTTCATACACTAGTAAACATTTCAGTTAGTTTGACCGATAAACCTCGGTCACTTTACTTGAGTACCTCTGGAACTAGTCCGAGTCCTGATTCTATTCTTCGTTTCAGATTACCTACAGCTTTCTCGACTTCGACAAGTGTTATTGGTCCTGCCACGACGTTCTATTCTGGCTATGACTAGATGAGGAGCAACGAAATAGTATCTGGAGGTCAGTTTGACTGTTCGTCTAAGTGTTCATCCAATCGTTCCAGTCTTCTGCACTGTGAGTGAACTGCAGACCCACCTTTCTCAGTCGTCTCACTAACCATTAACATTTTTTCTCCCGTTTCTCTGATAAATGTAGATGATTGCCCACTGTTTCCTATCACCGCTGCCTTTGGCCTACGTTATCCATCACTGTTAGTAGTCACTGCGCAAACTCTCTACTATTAGATATTCGATTTACTTCCAACTATCTTTGTGCCAAAAGCCTGCAAGGATACGTTTACACGTATATCCGTTTATTTGGAAGGTGTTTAGATCCACTAAACCTTTCTAATCTCTCTCTAAAGGTATTTACGTTCTTAGAGGATACATTTATCGTAAACCGCAGAATGCACTAGGCCTCTTCAGAGTGGTTGACGTTATCCTATTCTAATAACTGCCTATCTGATTTGTTGCAGAAGCAGCCCCAATATCCTCGTTCTTTTAGCTGCCCTCACAATGTTCTTGTAGTCATAGTCTTTGTACGTCGATTTAGGTTTATACAAAGATGTGTTGAAATATATGCTTCATAAACAGCGGCAACCTCCCACCGATTCTCTTCAGAGATACGGTTTGTGTCTGTCTCTAAATTAAGATCGATGGACACCGCGTCAAACAGTGTCTTTTTTTATTTTAGAAGTTTTCACCGGTCAGAAATAGACTGTTGTTTGGGCACAGTTGTAGCAAGGGGTTCCCCTTTTCTATTCGCTTGGCTAGGATTCCATAAGTGCCTGATTTAGCTTTCCCTCTTCTACATTGATTAAAACCACAATCGCGACTGTGGGTTTCAGAAGGAGGCTAGATAGCTCTTGGTACCACTGAGCTCCAGTCGGTGGGTGCGTAAGAAGAGATTACAGAAAGGCAATAGCTTATTTCATTATTCTTTTTAGTAAAGTAGTAGAGTTTCTGTGCTTATAGCAGGTTAAAGATTGTGCATAACTAAAATTGATTAATGAGTGTACTTCTAATCAGGTACTTCTACATGATATCTCTAATTCGTTAATCTATGTATTCATGTATTAATTTTTAATGATGATAATCCGATTTTTATGTGGAGAATATTAAA